ACAACCGCCGTCGGGCACGCGTCCGCGAATTGATCACGCGAGTCATTCGCGCCAGCAGTCACGCCACCGCGATGCCGCTACCTGACGTTGCAGTGCGCCGCCGTCACCACCCAGTTCTCGTTGACCAAGGAGCCGCCGCAGAAGTGGAAACCCGTGTAGTCCTGATGCCCAAAAACAGGCGCCGGCGCGCTCACGTCACATCACTCGCTGCGTGCCGGTGCGGTTGTGCGCGGGAGTGCGGGCGCGCGCGTACCTGCAGTGACACCTGCCAGGGCCAGGAGTGAGGCACCGCCTCCTCGCCGTTGACGATACGAGAGTATCCCGTGATCACGGGAGGGATGGCGGGAGAGCCGCAACCTGATGACATCGTCGCCGCCCGCCGACGTCAGCGAGACATGAGGAACGTCGGAAAACAGACCTCGTCAATCGGGCTGTGCGCATCGCTGAATGCTAGCGCGCTCGTGCTAAGGCTCACTCACCGTAGGCGGCGCCGACGAAGGCGAGGCACGAGAGGATCCACAGGAAGGCCATGGCGACATCATGTCTTCTGCAGACGAACGCCGGCCTTTTATCCGGACGCATCTGCGCCTGATTGGACGAGAGGGGCGGGCGGGGCGTGGCCACGGAGGCACACGCTATCAGCGGACGTGAGAGTTTGGACACATGCAATTCCGGGAAATCTGCAGCTGGGGGAAAACATCAAGTCATACCTGAAAGGGGGGCAGCGGTGAAACTTTTTGCTGACGTCTTGGATCGTTCAACAAATGTCACTCAGATATGACTTTTCCAATCCAGTAAAAATGTATTCGGGCGGGGCGTGGCCACGGAGGCACACGCTATCAGCGGACGTGAGAGTTTGGACACATGCAATTCCGGGAAATCTGCAGCTGGGGGAAAACATCAAGTCATACCTGAAAGGGGGGCAGCGGTGAAACTTTTTGCTGACGTCTTGGATCGTTCAACAAATGTCACTCAGATATGACTTTTCCAATCCAGTAAAAATGTATTGCTGTTGAAATAGGTTCACAGAAGTTTCATTGATGTGTCCAGGATTTGTCGAAACCATCATTGATGGCTTGATGGATTTTTTTGTTGAGCTTTTCTTCATTGATGGCAATGAACGTTCTCATTTATTGATGGACTTCAAATGGCATCTCAGTGATCGGCGCTTTCCCGGCTCTCTTCGAACGTGTTCATTTGCGGGTTTTGTCGGTCTCATTGATGATTTTGAAGTGGAATCAAGAAGGAGATGGTGTGCCGTGTCAATATCGACGCGATCGGCTAACATATGGGAAACGGACCTATCTGCTGAGATATTCAAGGGCGATGTCAACGTGTGTTTGAAGGGCACCTGTTCGACACGTCTGCCTTTTTTCACCCGGCAACTGCAATCGCGGCCGTATTATTTTCAAGGACACGTCAACGTTTAGAACATACAGTCGAGCTGCCATCGGAGTGGCCCGGCAGCGGCGGAGTCATGCTATTCAAAATCTTGCCATATTTTTGGGGGAGTTTTGGTTCACATTTTGTCACATCCGAACGCAAATGTTCAACACCCCAAAAAACACAAAATCAGTCAATCAGGAAAGAAAAGCTGTTGCGACATTATTCTCCAGACATCGCCAAATTATGTTCCAGGCCGCCAATAAATTCAAGCCATGATGTACTCTGTCAGTGCCTGCGTGTGAATGCCTTTTATGACTAGACACACACACACACACACACACACACACACACGCACACACACACACACACACACACACACACACACACACACACACACACACACACCCGATCTAGATCAGGGGTGTCAAACTCATTTCACATTGTGGGCCACATACGGACTGTGTAGATGTCAAGTGGGCCAAACCATTAACATGAACCCATACTGAGCTATGAATCACCAAAATGTCATCTCTTTCCTTTGTTTTGGTCCCAAGAAGCATTGATTGGCGCTTTCATGTCATTTGCTGCATTGGGTCTATCTCGGTGACGGACTGAGACTGCTATTTTCTTCCCCGATCAAAACAATGTCGTCTTCTCCTGTGATCAAAACAGTGTGCCCCCCTAGCGGATAATCCACGAATTGCATTTTATAGAAAATATTCCTTCTGTGTCTTCAATGCATTTTTTTGTTTCACTTTTAAATGATCCCGCGGGCCGGATCGAACCTCCTTGGGGGTCGGTTCCGGCCCGCGGGCCGTACGTTTGACACCCCTGATGTAGATACTGTAGATAGTACGTCGGCCTCGCGATGCTGAGGTGCAGGGTGGGATTGGGGCTCCGGCCTTCCTGTGCGGAGTTTGCCTGCGTGGGTTTTCTCCAGCGACGCCCCTTTCCTCGCACCTTCCCAAAATATGCGTGACAGGTGAATGGAAGGCTCTAAATTCTCCGTCGGCGTGAGCGCAAATGCTGCGTAGGGTCCTCGGACTTCTCACAGGAAGCCCGTGTCGCGATTTGAGGACAGGTGTGATGCGGTCCAGCTTGCCAGTCTTTGGAAGGACGCCGGCGGCACCGTTTTGGATCAGCCGCAGCTGACTGGTGGTGGTCTTTTTTATTCGATTAAGACCTGTAAAGGCACAATTATAGTCATGGAGTCGACTGAAAATAAAAGCACGAACAAGCTTGTTTTTGATTCTTTATTTCTGTGTTTGGTCGAGACAGAAAGTCCTTCATTCGGGCGACGCTTTTCAGCTTTAGTCACTGCTTTTACGTGGCATTCCGTGAGGTCGAGTTAAGACCACCCTGATGTTGGACCTTTCTTTCGTGGGGCCAAAAGCGATTCCTTTTCCGGATCGAGCTGGAGAAAAATCCGGTCCGTCCGCTCAGTGATTTGACGAAACCAACCGGGGTCGATGTTATCGTTGTTTCCGAAGGCCGTCCGACGATCTCCTCCAAATTCGTGGTCACATGCTTCCAGTCAGCCCACGAAAACAATCGATGAGTCTCAGGATCACAAAAATCATCACCATTTCAAAACTCCAAAGGAGATTCAATTGTCATTTTCCGCACCACCAAATCATCGAAGGGCTCTTTTTCGTCACGGAATAGAACGGTCAAAAGTCAATCCATTCAAATGCGGTCAATGGAGGGCTTATGCATCATGAAGTTGTCAACTCTCGAGCTCGCTCGCCATTCTCTGTCCTCGAGGCCAAAGTCAGCCACGTTTTGTCATCGTGTGGTTTCATCGCCTCTGCAGCCGAAAAGAAACTTTTTGCGTGGATGTGCTGAGCTGAGTGCATTTTTCTCAACACAGCCGCTCGAAACTGAGCGGAGTCGGTGATGGGCAATGGTCAACTCCCGACTTCTGTGGTCCAATTTGCATGTCACGGGTACAGAAAAGAAATGAAAACGTGACACCCGACCAAAAAATCGAAAGGTTGCTGGAATCTCGTTTTTCCGTTCGGTGTTGCCCGCGAGCGTGAATGTGAAATCAAGTCGAGGCCAAGAAGTCGTCGTTGATGATGCCATATTTTTTTTTTTTTTATTGGGGTTCTGCGGGAAACGCGTGCGGGCGATTAGTTGGCGGCGAGGGTCTGGTCCACCCAAGCGCGCAGCTCGGTGACGCGGGCGTAGACGGCCGGCGTGGACGTGGAGCAGCGGCTGCTTCCCCAGGACACGATGCCCACCAGGGTCCAAGCGTTGTCTTTCTCGCACACAAGAGGACCGCCGGAGTCGCCCTACAGTGCGCAAAGGGGAAAGCAAGTGAAGAAGGAAGTGGGCTCTTCAAAATCTGGATGCTCGATTTTGGGGATTTGATTCATTTTTTTAAAGCGACACGAGTCCATACGACTTTTGGGCACATACGGAGACGACCAAGCGATCGCAGCCACGGCCGCACCGTCACTGAGCTCAGGTGGCTTCCGTTTCAAAAGCACTCCGCTCATTGCCATTGGCACACCTCGAGCGGCCCGTTTCTTTGTTCGCGCGAAGTTAGCGGGCGACATTGGCCTCTCGCGATGCGCAAACGTCCGATGTAAATGCGAGGAGAAGAGGACGAAGGCCGTCGGGCGCCATGGGCTCACCATGCAGGAGGTGGCGCCGTCGCCTCCGGCGCAGATCATCACGTCAGAGATGTTGCTGCCCCAGTGACGCTTGCACTGCTCGTTGGACAGCAGAGGAAGCGCCGCCTGCTGGAGCTTGTTGGGAGTGCTGGGAGCTGCAAAGGCGGCGGCGGCGGCGCCGTTAGACGGACTTTTCCCCAAAGGAGCGACGGCGGTGCAACGGCCGTCCCTCCGTCGAGCCGAGGGACGGCCGAAAGCAGAAAGTAACAAAAGCGGCACGATGAGCGGCAAGAGGAGGAAAGGCCGCGACAAGAAAACAAAGCGGGACGAATGCCAAAAGGAACGGGAGTAGGAGAACCGCAAAACAAAGACGACCGTGTATCGGAACCCACATCAAAAAAGCCACGTGCTCATCGTTTGCCCCGCAACCAAGAATCGCTTCATCGATCGATGATATTGTCGATGACGCGAGTTCAATTTTTTTTTTTTTTTTTTTCAAACGGGACATGATTTTAAGTAGACATTGCGGAGAAAGCAGGCGGTCCGAGCGCGGCGTTCCGAGGAATTTTGCCTTGACGGAACAGGAACGAAGCGGCCAAATCCGCCTCGGGGGTTTGCGGTCGTGTTTGCCGAAAAGGAAGACCTCGCTTGCTCGAGCGGCCGGCCACCGATCACGGCACACCCGCGTTCCCGGGTTTGGCCGCGAGACTTTTGCAAGCGGAGCCCGCCCGGCACCGGGATCTCATTTTGGGTTGTCAGCGAGTGGCGCGACGACCGCCCCCGCAGGTGGATCCGCTCGGCCGCACATGTCGGACGATATCACGTTTGGAGTCGCCATTTTCTTTCCCTTGACTTCCCCTTCAGATGAAACAAGGCGATCGACGGGTTTTCAAAAAATGACTCTGGCGTAATCCCGACGACGACAGAAGGAGGAACAGAAAAAGCCAAAGCGTAACGAGAGGAAGCCGAACAGCGAGCTGCGATGGGCCGACGTCGACTGAGAGCAAGAGGAAGGAAAGGCGGCGAGCGGACCGTTGTATCTGGTCAGTCCCCATCCGGAGGTGACGCAGGTCCTTCCCGGGGCGAAGTCGTCGGCGGCCTCGGCCAAGCAGACGGGCGACACGTTGGTGCCCAGGCGGGCGGGCGAGCTCAGCTTGATCAGGGCGATGTCGTTGTTGATGGTGCGCGGGTTCCAGCGGGGGTGCGTGAACACCTTGGCGGGGCGAAGGACCTGCACCGCCTCGTTGGAGCCGTAGCCCTTATCGTGCTCGCCGGCCACCACGCGGTGGTAAGTCCTGGGGGCGCGGGGGAGGACGGCGTGACGAAAGGACCGCAACTTCCGTACCCGTACCCGTACCCGTGCGTGCGTGCGTGACGGCTACCTGACATTGCAGTGGGCGGCGGTCACCACCCAGTTCTCGTTGATCAGGGAGCCGCCGCAGAAGTGGAAGCCGTTGGATTGCTGCCCGGGAAATCACAGCGTGACCGACTGGAAGAGGCAACGCGAGCCGAGACGCTACGGCGGGAGGAGAACAGGAACGCAATCGCGGAGGCTCGGTAGCCAAGAGCAACGGGGGGCGCAGGAAGATCGGGACCGATACGGAATGAGGAAGAGGGACACCAGCAGGAGGACAGGAGCGGGAGCTCAGCGAGGACCCAAAGGGGGACGGGAACCGGAACCCAGAAAGAGGCGGGACCGGGATGACCAAGACGAACGGAAGGACGAAGGAGAAGATGGAGAGGCAGCGCGAAGGGGAAGCCAAAGGGGAACAGGAGTGAACGACCCAAAAAGACCAAGCGAAAGAGTGGGTCAAAGGAAGGAAGAAGAACAGGAACCCGCTAGATGAAGACAAGAAGGGTCCGGGAACCCAAAGAGGAGCCGAAAGATGGACACAGGAAGAAGAAGAAGCCAAAAAGGAATGCCGAACTGGAAACCAAAGCGGACCCGGACCCGGCTCAGCGCCAGGACCTGGACCGGGAACGTCACCAGCGCCGGCCAGAGTGCGTTGGACCCATCTGACCTGCAGGGAAACCTGCCAGGGCCACGAGTGCGGGACGGCCTCCTCGCCGTTGACGATGCGAGCGTAGCCGGTCACCTCGGGGGGGATGGCGGGCGTTCCGCAACCTGACACAAGCCCAAGAAGACAACCATGACGTGACGTCGTTCGACGGTGATGTCACCCACACTTGGCGCCCTTCCCTTTTCTGACCGTAGGCGGCGCTGACGAGGGCGAAGCAGGAGATGATCCAGAGGACGGCCATAACGACGACGACGACGACGACGACGATGATGTCGCCGGGTCTCCGCTGCGTGCTTTTATCCAGCGACCGGACTGGCGGCGACCAATCGCAGAGCGGCCTCTCTCAGACCGCAGCTGCTTATCAACAGGCCCGCTCCCACGCGCCGAGTGGACGGCGCTTTCACCCACTCAAACTCAACTCCGCCGTCACATTTGGCACCAACTATTTTTCTTATTCATACAACCTCATTTCATCTTGTACAATACAATGCAGGACATGTTTCTTTTTAGAGCGCTTTCACGACGGCTTCAGCTGTAACATGGGATACGATGACTATGCATGGATGGATATGTCGCTCTCTCTCTTAATATGTGTGGGGGGGGTGAGAGAGAGAGAGATTGTCCCCAAGTGCCCTTTCTAGGAGAGACTTTTCACTGCGTTCCATTTCCATGAAAAGGAGGTGACGTCGCAGTGAGCGGTGTCCAAGAAGGGAGCTCGATCTGACAATCACTTTTCCATGAGCCCCAAAAATCTCCAAAGTGTGGATGACGACGACCATGTTTTGAAAGTCATTCTTCGAGAAAACGTCCTCTCGCGATGCATTCCTCGAGCAACGCATCGAATACGACGGCATTGCAAAAACAGCCGACGGGCGGAAAATATGGCGACACATTTGGGACACGTCTGTCTGGAAATCGGGACTGGTTAATCTTTAACTTTCCCCATCCTCAGCGTGTTGGCTTTCACACGCCGATTAGACGCAAAACATGCGAGCCGGGTTATTTTTGAAGGACTTGCTCAACGATGGAAAAATCTCCGGGGATGCGCACCTCGAAAGACGCGCCAAAGAGATCCTGCCAAAACCTCGCTTTTCCGAGTGCGCTCGTATTCAACGCGGCTGCGGGACGGCCTTGAAAATAACGCCGACGCACACGAGCAAATGCAAACACGCGCAGACTGAGCGTGTTTCGGTTCCCCCGGCCCGGACGCACCTCGCAAAGCGTCTCGTGTGGTGACTTTGAGGGCACGTGTGCGGTGGGTGTCATCACCTTCCGCTGATAAAGAGGACGTCGGCATGCGCGGAAGCGCCCGCGTTGCCTTGGAGCAATCGGGCAACCGTTGTGTCGTTTTCAAAGCACCCCCACATCGGGGATGCGGTCTCGCACGCGGAAAGCGAGGACGGCTGCGGAAGGCCGCCGCCAAGCGCCCACTTGACGGCGGCCGACTTCACGCTGTCATGATTCTGTTTGGGACCACCAGGTGGCACTGTTAGGCTCTCCCTGCAGCTGCACGCCTGTCGGTCGTTCTGTCATTATTGCTTGAAAAGAACGCCCAAATCAGTCATGTTTCGGTTTTTCATTGTTATGTTTTATCTCCAGTCATGGTTTTGTTTGATACTTTGGATTCGTTTTGTTGTTCGGACTTTGTTTCGGGTTTAGTTTTCTGTTTTTGATCAATACACTTCTTCAAGTCCACCCGGCTCCTCCCTCCCGCTTGCTTTTTGGGGTCCACCACAACCTCGCCAACGTGACACACGCCGTCCGCAAGCGACGAGCTTCTTGCGATTCCTTCCGAACGCGCCTCGCGCGCCGTCGATCTCTTGCGGCGACGCCAGCCGCCGGCTCTGTTTTTTTTCCACGTCGGGCAAAGGCGGCTGTGTTCGCACCCACAACAGCGCCGACCGTTTCGAAGCACGCGTGTCTGACCAAAAGAAAGGAAAACCCGGCCGCGGCCGGTTGGGCGGCGCTCGGCGAGGAAACGGGGTCCCCGGGCGCCATCGACTCGCTCGTAGAGATGAAATCGAGGAGACCCTTGTTGGAGGTGCAATTTGTCGCTTGAGATTTTTCTTGTCACAGACACTCGGTAGGCCTGGCGCAATCGACTTTGCATTCCAAGACCGAAGCGCCTATTGATCGAGAATCGCCCGCACCGTCGCCTCAAAGGGCAACACACGGTCGAGGTCGATGAAGCCAAACGCTGGAAACGGAAGCGCCCGCCCTGACGGGCAAGTTGCGGGCAATGATTCGCTGCCCACGTCGTCCTTTTGTGCTGCCAAAGTGGATTTTCCTGCCATCAGCGTTTATGAAATCTCCGTCGTGCATTAAAGACGACTAATCGGGATTACCGAGGCCAGTCGGTCGGGGCGCGGCCAAAGGCGGCGCAGGCTCGGGAGAGAGCGTCGGGAGGCGCGAGGGCGGCCGGACGCGCGTGAGGATGGACGGCAGAGGAAGACGAGGAACCGACGGCTCCTTCAAGCGCTCGTCCGTGAAACGCAGCGCCTCGTCTGGATCGCAGAAGGTAGGCCAAACCTTCTCCGACATTCTGCGCTGCACGCCGCCATCCTTCACATCTCTTCACACGCGACTGGGCAGCCGACGCGAGTCCGAGACCGCGCCGTTGTCCTCTGCGACGACTCGCGAGGCAATTCGAGCTTCCCCGCAAGCAACGTGAAGTCCGCGTGACAACGTGACGTTCTCGGAGCTAATTGGGTGCCCTCGGTGACGACCTCAAGCGCGCAGACGCACGTTGAGGTGCCCGAAGGCGACTTGAGAGCTGAGCTTAAGATACGAGGGAATTCGTTGACGACCACTTGAAGAACAAACAAAAACAAAAATGATTTGACTTGAAGTGTCAGGAGACAACTTCAAGGCCTCAGAAACAAATTCATGTCTCCAGACAGCGACAACTTCATGCCCGTAGAGACAACCGGATGTCTTCAAAGACAACCGCGCGACAGCCGGACGGTCTTGGAGATGACTTCAAGTCCTTTGAGAAAATCGGTCGTCAGTAGAGACGGCTCGACGCCCTCAGAGACAACGGCGGGACAAATTGAAGTCAACTCGTTGTCTCCGCAGACGACCAGAAGTCCTCCGAGACAATTTGCCATCCTTGACGACAACGTGTTGCCAGGGCTAACTTGTCTTCTGAGTGACATTAACTTGACAGCGACATTTGACAGTCATTATGCTAAAAAAAAAAAAAAAAAGAGACAAAAAAAATGTCCTCGTGGACAGGAAGTAAGTGTTTGATTGACATGTACACACTTGATATATATATGGATACTATATACGTACTGTATGTCTATTCATCTACACACACACATATATATATATATATATATATATATATACACACACAGAAAGAGAATATATGTACTGCATATGTACATATGACTTTATGTCTTATATGATGATGACAATGTAAACGAGGCTTAAGTTATGTTCATGTTAATCCTCCATTATGCAGAGTGCAATATCACGCAGTGTGTGTGTGTGTGTGTGTGTGTGTGCGCGCGCGTGAGCACAATGAAACATTACCACAGTGATTTAAAAGCTGAGCAGGATTACTTATTTTTATGTTTATTGTGTAAGAGGATTTGGAACCATCAAGAAATGGAAAGCTTCACTCTCGTTAAAATTAGGCCGTTTCTTTTCCACACACACACACACACACACACACACACACACGCACACACACACACACACACACACGTGTGCGCACCCGCACGCTTAGGCGCACACCACCTTCGTTCCAGACTTGTCACCGTCTTTGATGAGACCGATGACTGCGGTGTCGTCTGCGAACTTTCGGAGTTTGACGGCCGGGTGTGTTGAGGTGCGATCGTTCGTGTAGAGGGCGAAGAGCAGTGGCGAGAGGACGCATCCCTGCGGGCCTCCGGTGCTGAAATGAATGAAAAAAATGTACTCATCTCTTCAGGGAAAAACAAAACAAAAGTGTGTTTGGGTTTCTCACTCTCTGGGAGTGGCACCTTCCTGGAAAGCCCTTTTTGGATTCAATGTTCTCAATTGGACAAACTGCTCCTGTTTGTGGAGTGACCCGAATGGAGTTGACATCCGCCGTTAAAAAAAACGGCGGGACGGTCGATCGTATCTCGAGGCACCGCACAAAACGACATCAACGGTAAGAAATATACGCTCAGACTTAAAGTACACGGTAGGAAATACGGCAGCACGGGACGCGCCGTCAAAACACGACTGCCAATGATAGCGCGGGATTCGATGCTGTCTCGTTTCAGCTGCAGAGAGCTTGGATCGAGAAAACCTTCCAGAAGAGAGAATGTGTGCACATCATGACCGGAAAAGACGCCAGCAGGTACACAAATGCGGCGTTAAAGTCCGTCCGTCCATCTACTTTGGCTTCCGCCGGGTCGGGCGGTGGCGGGTGCGTCTGAAGAAGGCGGCGGTCATTTGTGCCAACCGCCAAAGAGAGTAGAGGAAGAAGAAGAATGGCAACAAAGGCGTGACCTCTCGCTCCTTTAGCACCTGGGACCCGCCACAACAAGGATTTGTTGACTATTTACTGCAGCAAAACGCACCGTCGCTGACTGGGATTTTTCTACCTTTGGCCATGATGAGACTCCAGGCGAGCCATTTTCAACTAAAAAAGAAAAACGCTCGCGGTGTTCGAAGCAAAAAATACAATCATTAAAAAAATGCGGAAAACACGTGCCTAAAATTTTAGCGGCACCACTTCAAGGGCAGTCCGGAGGCCCGTTGTTGTGTAACGGGGTGCGATGCGCCCCTCCGACCGGCGGAGGACACCTTTCACCGCGCTCGGCTCGGTTCGGTTCGGCCGTCGACGGCAAAGACGTGACGCGACTCGGCGCCGTTCTCCCGGCAGGTGCGGCTGCGGCCAGCCGGTGGCGCAGCATTCGGCGGTCCCGGAGGCGGAGCGACCGGAGGTCCGACCCCCGGAGCGCTGGACCGCCCTCAAGCACACCCGGGCCGCCCCCACCGACGCGTACGGCGTCATCGAGTTCCAGGAGGGAGGACACGTCAACAAGGCCATGGTACTGTACGCGACCAATCCTCCAAACTCAAGCACCACCCTCCCTCCCTCTCAAGTGGCCAGATTTGTTCACCGCGTGCCCCCGACATTGACCGCTGCCCCGTCCGGCGTATTTTTTTTCATGCGTGGTCCCCCCCCCGACCCCCCTGCAGTACATCCGCGTGTCCTTCGACTCCAAGCCGGAGTGCCTGCTGCAGCTGATGGTGAAGGAGTGGTCGCTGGAGCTGCCCACGCTGCTCATCTCGGTCCACGGCGGCCTGCAGAACTTTGAGCTGCCCCCCAAACTGCGGCAGGTCTTCGGACGGGGGCTCATCAAAGCCGCCGTCACCACCGGGGCTTGGATCTTCACCGGCGGCGTCAGCACCGGTACGTCCGTTTCGGGAGGCCAGGTGGCCAAATGGCGGGGGGGGGGGTTTGACTACAGTGCGCACCCCCCCCCCCTCCCACTTCACCATTGACTTCCCACGTCATATGAGAGCCAAGTCGGGATGTCCTTTTTAACTGGAGGGCGCGCGTGTGCGGCAGGCGTGATCCGCCACGTGGGCGACGCCCTGAAGGAGCACTCGTCCAAATCCCGCGGCAAAGTGTGCGCCGTCGGCATCGCGCCCTGGGGCATCGTGGACAACAAGGACGACCTCCTCGGCAGAGACGTGAGAGAGCGCCGCCTCCCTCCCCGAACGCCGGCGCCAGCTCGGCCTTCCGTTGCAGCCTTTTCCGATTTCCATTGAATTGACGTGAAAATCCAAATTTCATTTCAATTCCAATTGGAGAAAAGTCACCGCACTCTTCTCGTACCCAATCAGACCTTTGATGATGATGATGATTTTTTTTTTTTTTTTTTTGATGAAATGACCTTTCTTCGTTTGTCATGATCCCTTTGCGTGTTTTCGTGTCAATATTTCATATTTCATGTGTCATTTCAAATTCCCTTCCTTATATTTCATTTGGCTTTGAATGGAACTTTCCGTACAATTATGCCATAGAAATATTCCTGTCATAGCAATTGCTTGTTAAATTGGCTAAAAAAAAAAAAAGGGGAACGCCTCCATTTGCTTTTTCATCCATCGTATACGACATTCATTTTTTTTTTTTTGTTTGTGCATCTCTTTTTATGTCGTGCAGTACAACTATTCCTTTTGCGGGCCTTCTTTTCCCCGCGTTGACATAAATTGGGCCTTTTTTTCTGATGAAAGACGATGAAAGTCCCTGAATTCAATGTGGTACTATTCTATTGAAAGTATTGATTAGCATTCACATCAATACAATTGAAATCCATGAGCTAAATTAAAAATTTAATCCAATTTCATTTTTAACGTGATTGCAATTATTCAGCGGGACGTAACAGGGCCAATTTTGGCTCATAAAAAAAAAATCAAATAAAAAATAAGATGGTTAAAAAAGTACATGACAACACCGATGTATGGTGCCAAATAATGGACAAAAACATCCCTTTTATTCCCGCTATGCATCCATTTAAAAACGAATGCCCGTCCCCAGCATGCGGTTTTGCGCTTTGCATCTCGCGCAGGTGTCGCGTCCGTACGGGACGATGGGCAACCCGCTGAGCAAGCTGGCCGTGCTCAGCGCCAGCCACTCGCACTTCATCCTGGCCGACGACGGCACGGCCGGCAAGTACGGCGCCGAGGTGCGACTCCGCCGGCAGCTGGAGAAGCACGTGGCGCTGCAGAAGATCAACACGCGTGAGTGGGCCGCCCGCTGACGCTTTTGGCGCCCCGCCCCCGACGCGACGAGCTCCGCCCCCCGCCGCCTCTGCGCAGGTCTGGGTCAAGGCGTCCCCGTGGTGTGCCTGATCCTGGAAGGGGGCCCCAACATCATCTCGGTGGCCCTGGACAGCTTGCGGGAGGAGCCGCCCGTCCCCGTGGTGGTGTGCGACGGCAGCGGACGGGCCTCCGACATCATCTCCTTCGCGCACAGATATTGCCACCCCGACGGGTGAGTGGCGAGCGAAGCCCCGAGCGGCCTTGCCCTTTTGCTAGTGTGACCGAAAACCTTGCAAACTCTTGAGTTTCCTCGTCGCCTCCTGGCGGTGGCAGTTGGACGTGCGACTTTTGCCAATGGTCGAGCTCGGTGGAGGTCAAAGTAGCGCTTTGGCGTCAAGGACCGATGTTGGAGCTCGGTTTCGACCCCGCTGTTTTGCTCCGGAAAAGCCGGCGCCGCGTGACACACCGCCATTCGGGCATGTCAAAGGGACGCTCGCGTCCCAACGGCGCAGAGAAGTGGCCCGGCTTGTTTTTGTTCCCAAAGGGCGCAAGAATGGCCTCAAAAGTGGCCGGCGCCGACCATCTCCAACGCGGGGGCGGGGCGGGGAAGAAAACGCGTCGGCGGGCCGCTCGCGCGTGTTGATCTCCTGCGGCGCCACGGGCTTCTCCGGCTGGCGGCACCCGCACCTGCCGCCCGCCCCGTGGATGAAGTGCTCCAATGAGCAAGGACAGCTTCGTTGTGTTTTCGCTCGGGGTCCCCTGGCTCCTTATCTCAAGCCGACCGCCCGGGAGCTCGGGTCTTCAACTGGGCGGTGACGGGCAAATTGGTGCCGTTGTGAAATCCGGCTTCTTTCTTCTACTTTGGAGTCCGCCGGTCCTCCATGCAGCGTGCCCAGTGGGTCCAGAATGCCGCCGCTGGCTTCTTGACTGGACCTCGTCGGAGGGAGCGCATCGCGCCTTCACTGGCTCATTTGAGAATTCTTTGGACGATCCTGCGATTGGTTTTCCAATCTTGCGATGGCCCCACCTGACCTGTTCAGCGGCTCGGGTCTGGGGACCACACGCTACGAGAGGCACCGAGAACCAAGCGCAGGATGTGATGCGAGGGGAGAGGGAGCCTTTTGCGTTGCCGCTCCCTCTCTTCGGAAGGAACGTTGGGCGAGGCCCCTCCTCGGCCGCCCATCTTTCAAAGTCGTCGGTTTTCGTCTTCGGCTTTGGACTCGGCACGACGCTTGATGTCGAGTTGGACTTTCTGGCGTCCTCGTTGTGGATGAATCGGTTTATCGTTTGTTGTCGTCTGACTGACTTTTGCGGCACTTTGCAGACAGAGGCGGTCGCTCGGGAAATACAGTCGCGTTTGTCGAGCTGGCCGAAATCCGCTGACGGGCTCCCGCGCCGCGCACTTGTCGACTGAACCCAATTGCCGCCTTCGCGCGACGGCTCACGTGGCTCTGCCGTTTCGCCGCCTTCGAGGTCCGTGAGCGAAGGCGTGAAGGAGCAGCTCCTGGTCACCATTCAGAAGACCTTCAACTACGGCCGCGGCCAAGCGCAGCAGATCTTCCTCATGGTCATGGAGTGCATGAAGAAGAGAGCGCTGGTGGGTCGCACGCCAAGCAACTCGCCTCACCCCACCCGCGCGCGGGCCATTTTCCGTCGGCGATTTTGGCCGGCGATTGCCGAGCGCTCCCGCGAACTGCCCCGCGCCCCCGTTGGCCGCCTCATCTTTGAAACGTCGTTTGGTTTCAGATCACGGTCTTCAGGATGGGCGGCGAAGGCCAGCAGGACATCGAGATGTCCATCCTCACGGCGCTTCTCAAAGGTCAGAGTTCGGCGTGTCCGCATCATACGTGACGCCTTGACGGCGAGGGACTGACGAGCGCGCGCGTGTGCGTGCAGGCACCAACGCCTCGGCGTGCGACCAGTTGAGCTTGGCTTTGGCCTGGAATCGCGTGGACATCGCTCGCAGTCAGATCTTCGTGCGCGGACACCGCTGGCCCGTGAGCACGCTCGCACTCGCACTTGCACTCGCACGCCCCTCCTCCCCCAGCGTACCGAAACGCGCTTCCTCGGTTTGAGCTCAAAACTGCGCCCGCTCCCGCGCGCCTCCGACCAACTATTGCCGACAACACTTGAAGTCACAGCAAGATTATTATTGCTAACGAAAGCTAAAAATGAATTAGAAAAACAATTTCGGTCATTGAAATGAAAATGGGACTGTTTGCAGAATTATGGAAGGGGGGGGGGGGGAGGTATCGGAATCCAACGAAGGCGGTGATATCAGGGGTGCGTATGGGCGTGGTGATCGTAGGCGTGTGTGCGTGCCAAGCGTCCGCAGCTGCGTTGCCAAGCTCATCGTCTCCGTGGCGACGTCCTTGGCGCGCCGGTCTCGGGCTCGGGAAGGAGGGCAAAGGGGCTGATGGGAAGCCAATTTTTCCATCCAGTTTTTCAATTTGAAAGACTCTTAGCCTGCGACTCCCAATGGAGTCCATTTGCCGAATCCTCGCACGCCAACGGCTCCGGGTTCTTTTCCATTTTGCCCGAAATAGAAACAAACAAACTCTCAAAACGAATTCAAACCAAGTGAATGAAAGAAAAAAAAAAGCGGCTAAAATGGAACCGGCGGTACGATGACAAATCCCAAACTGTCATCACCTCGGTCTGGACTCGACACGAGTGTTCGTGTGCAGCCGGTGACCTTGAGCGAGCGTCCCAAAAGCCCGGCGGCGGCCCAGCGCGCGGCGGCGGCGGCCACCAAAGCGAAAGCTCGGGGGAAGAAAGGAAAAGCAGGGAAAGCCAAAGTGGAGCCCCCGGAGGAGACGGACCCCAGGAAGCTGGAGCTGCTCGGCTGGGTAAGGCGAGCGTCCTGACGCCGACTCTGACACCGCCGCCGATCGCTAAGGTGCGCCGTGGCGCTGCGGCAGGTCAACTCCCTGGAGCAGGCCATGATGGACGCCTTGGTGTTGGACCGCGTCGACTTTGTCAAGCTTCTGATCGAGAACGGCGTCAACATTCATCACTTCCTCACCATCCCTCGTCTGGAGGAACTCTACAACACGGTTGCAGGCGCCGCGCCACACACACACACACACACACACACACACACACAAGTGACACCGTCAGACACAAGTGACACCCGACCGACACGTCAGACATGACGAGACCGACACAGACGTGCGTGGCACAGGGTCGACACGTGACGGCTGCTTGGCAGGCGGGGCGGGCTCATGCGACATGTGATTGTCACATGTGACACTTGATGTGACTCGCAGGCAAGACGTGACCGACTTGACGTGACGGACACGCAAGTCATGTGACGCGTATGCGACACGGAACGGAAACTCGACCCGGCACCGGCGGGGGACGGAGGACTGACGCTGATGACGGGCTCAATGACACGTGACTGACACATGTGACCGATGTGCAAGACGCGTGTGCCGGACTTAAGCGACGTGTGGCTGACATGAGTGATGCACGCAACCGGCAACTGAGGCAAGTGAGACCCGACCGACGTGTGTAACGTGTGAGTGAAGTGCGCCACGTGGCTGAAATGTTACAAATGGGAGACACGAGACACGTAACCGACACGCGTGTCCCCACATCGAACACGTCCGACGTGCAAGATTGGTGACAAAAGTGACAGGCCTGACAGACTTGCGTGACGTGTGACTGAAACGCGATGTGACCGAGTCCTGTGACATGCGACATGCGATACGGGCGACGTGGCCGACACGTGACACTGACACACGTGACAGATTTAAGCAACACGCGACTCCTCGGAAACGTCACATATCCAAGCGTTCAAAACACGTGACGCTCCGCCGACGGATGTGACGCGCGACTGATATGTGTCAGACTTGCGACTGCCGCACGTGAAGCCCGGGCGACCCCCGCAGCTCCGCCTCCTCCGCTGACCTGACGCAGTCCTTTCTGTTTGTGTCCCCGCGTTGCGCAGAAGCTGGGACCCGCCAACACGCTGCACTTTGTAGTCCGAGACGTCAAGAAGGTCGGTCGCACGTGATTGGCGGCACCGGGCCGTCATTCGCGTGACAAGATTTTGAAAGAACACCTCTTGGTGTTCTTTGGAGTTTCTTTGCGTCTTGATGACTGACATGACCATTTTTTTTTTCTCTCTCTCTAGGGGAACCTCCCTCCAGACTACCAAATCACCTTGATCGACATCGGATTGGTTCTGGAGTTCCTGATGGGCGGAGCTTATCGCTGCATCTACACCCGGAAGAGCTTCAGGGCTCTCTACAACAACTTGTACGGCCTCAAGCGGGTGAGCGAGCGGCAACACTCGCGTGCACATCTTAGGCCTCATCCTTACCCTGGATTTTCTACGTGGGCTCCCTCTAGTGGTACGCAAGAGAATCACCGTCTCAGTACGCGCCACTTGGATTGAGCTTTTTGAAATGTTGATCAAGCGTTTCGTCAGGTAGCGTTTCAGTCTTTTGGGCGTAGCATGACAAGGTCACTCTTGCGTAACTTGCTCTTCTTGGAGTATTCTGACCTTAGTCTCGCGATGCCATGTCCAACCTCATAATTCGTTCGAACTCAACATTTTTCTTGCGACGTGGCGACTTTGACAAGGTTGGACGTCCCCCGATGACAGTTGACGTTTTGTCTTCCAGCCCAAAGCCTTGAAGCTGCTCGGCATGGAGGTAATTGTCGTGCCCCCGCGGCGGCGTCAGAACGCGAGGGCGCGGGGAAGGCAAACGTTCTCTCTGGCCGCCTCCAGGATGACGAGCCTCGTGCCAAGGGCAAGAAGAAGAACAACAAGAAGAAAGAGGAGGAGGTGGAGGTCGACGCGGACGACCCCGAGGTGAGCCGCTTCCAGTACCCCTTCCACGAGCTGATGGTGTGGGCCGTGCTCATGAAGCGCCAGAAGATGGCGCTCTTCCTGTGGCAGCGCGGGGAGGAGGCCATGGCCAAAGCCCTGGTGGCCTGCAAGCTCTACAAGGCAATGGCCCACGAGTCGTCCCAGAGTGAGCTGGTGGACGACATCTACCAGGACCTGGAGAATCACTCCAAGTGAGGGCGCCGTCGACGCGGAGGGGGGTGTGGTGCGCTCGCCCAGGGCCGCCCGTCCTCAACCCGTGTTTGGCGCGCGGCAGGGAGTTCGGGCAGCTGGCCTACGAGCTTCTGGACCAGTCGTACAAACGCGACGAGCAGGTGGCCATGAAGCTGCTGACCTACGAGCTGAAGAACTGGAGCAACTCCACCTGCCTGAAGCTGGCGGTGGCCGCCAAACATCGGGACTTCATCGCGCACACCTGCAGCCAGATGCTGCTGACCGACATGTGGATGGGATGTCTGCGCATGGGCAAGAGCAACAGCCTCAAGGTACGCGCGCCGCCGGATGGCAAACGGGAAGGTTCGCCGGACGGCCGGGCCATCTTTGCTTCCTGTCGTCCTTCGACAAACGCCAAAATACCGCGACTGCTCGTCCTGACCCGTCTTGGTGCTTTCGATTGAAATGTGTCTTTGCATGTCTCGCTTGTTGGATTTTCTTTCCAACTGTTGTGGGTGGTGGCCCCCGAGTAGCAATGTTGCGGTTTTAGCGAGGGCTACGTGGGGCAAATATGGAAGAAGCGAGAACCACAACGCCGGCTCCGTCCTTTGCCACCAGAACCACCGGCGACCTGAACGGCCGCTCAAAGCAGTCCGGCGTTTTTGTTTTTGCTTGACCTCTTCTTGCCGTCCAAGCGTGGTAAAGCCTCCAAGTGCCCGCTTCTTCCACAGGTGATTTTAGGAATCGTCTTCCCGCCCGCCATCCTCCTGCTGGACTTCCGCCTGGGCGAGGAGACGTCCTTCCACTCGTCCAAGGAGAGCGAGGGCAGCGGAAACAAAGACGACGACGACGCCAAGTCCGGCAAGGTAGGGGTTCCCGAGGAGCCCCTCGGTCCGTCCTACTTTGACCGGGCGCTGAACTTTGGGTCCAGGACGCCGTGTCCAACATGGACGCCGCGTCCAAGAAAGGAGACGAGGAGGACAACCGTAAGAAAGGCGGCAGGAGGATTCCCGTCGGCAGGAAGATTTACGAGTTCTACAATGCCCCCTTCACCAAGTTTTGGTTCAACACGGCAAGTAGCGGTCACGGTCATTCGAGGCCTCCCTCTTTGTCCTGTCTGGCAACGACGAGCCCGGAGGTAGGCAAACTGCAAGGGGGTCCGGCAGGGCTCCGCCGGTGATGTTCTTTTGGCGCTCCGGCGCAAGGCCTTTTTGGAAGGGCTTTGTGACCACGGATGTCAAAGCGGATGTCGTAGGGCTTCCATGTTGCGGGTTTCTTGGGAGTGGACTGTTTGAAGCAGGATGGAACCTCGGACAGGTCCAGGGATCCGGTCAAGTTCTGTGCAAAGACCGAAGCCAGCTGGTCAGCGCAGACTCTCGGGCAGAATGTGCCGAGGTTTTGTTGGCCCTTGTGTGGAGAGCGAGTTTGTTCATCTTGTTGGGCAGAGACCATTGACGGCTCAAAATGCACGCCGACATCGCTTGACGAGCACGCCGTGGCGGCGTCTCCGTGTTACCGGCGATACGTTGCGCTACCGGTGACATCAGATTCCATGAGTTAACAACCAGTGTGCATTAGTAGAACTGCAGCATAGGTCTTATTAGTGACGTTTTCCCACCACTGTCTAATATTTTCGACGCCTTAGTCTTCGCGGGACCACGATATGTTCCTAGCTAATGGGGACATCGATTTTGACTGCTTCACAACCGGTGAAGACTTTCCCACTGGCGTGTGATATGTCTGTCCTTCGCCAATCGGACACATTTTGAGGAGTGAACAACCAGGATGCACTAGTGTCGATGTCTGCTGGGCATTTCAGATCTCGTACCTGGTGTACCTGATGTTGTACAACTACATCATCCTGGTGAAGATGGAGCGCTGGCCCTCGCTCCAGGAGTGGATCGTCATCTCCTACATCATCACGCTGGGCCTGGAGAAGGTCCGACAGGTAAAAACCGACGCACCACGAATGGACTGGTGAAGTCGAGTTATCAATATGGATGACGGTGGTCGCAGTTGCGCCTCCGATACAGCGGGGGGCGGCAGCGCGCATGTTACTCCTGATACATCGCGTGTCATCGTGGTGTCTTTATCTTGAGGCTTGATTCCTAACCCTCTTGCGAATGGAATCACGATTTTTCTGAACACTGTGGATGCGGGTTTTTTGGGGGTGGGGTTTGTACGACACATTGGTTATGTGACTTTTCAAGATCCTGATGTCGGAGCCGGGCAAGCTGAAGCAGAAGATCAACGTGTGGCTGGAGGACTACTGGAACCTAACGGACCTGGCGGCCATCTGGGTCTTCGTGCTGGGCCTGCTGCTGCGGCTGCACAACGAGCCCTACATGGGCTACGGCCGCGTCATCTACTGCGTGGACATCATCTTCTGGTACATCCGCGTGCTGGACATCTTTGGCGTCAACAAGTACCTGGGGCCCTACGTCATGATGATCGGCAAGATGGTGAGCGCTCCGCCGAGCCCGCCTCCTGCTTTTGCCGCGCTACCCTGAATGCCTCGGCGGTGCGGAAGGGGGAGCGGAAGGCATCCAGGTCTGACAGATGCCCATTGAGATGCGAGCCGTGATCGGTGATGACCTCAGCAGGTGCCCTGTCGTTTTTGGTCGGTCGACGGCAAGTGGTGATATGGGGGGCAGATTTTGCTGCTTGGTCCAACTTCCGCATTCGTCTGAGCCACCGCTGTCATTTGTTGACTTTGGTGTACGTAGGCAGGGCGAGGGGACTCGGGTCCTGCCCTCCCTGCTGCTGCAACACGCCCGATTGAAATGATCAGTTTGTCGGCGAGAAAATGGGCAGGCCCTCGAGAGCTGCCGTCGCCCGGTCCCAAAGTCGTCCGTCCTTTGCGTTGCTCGTTTGTTTGACTGTGGGCGCGAGTCGGGCTGACACGCCCCTTTTGCGCGTCTCAGATGATCGACATGCTGTACTTCGTGGTGATCATGCTGGTGGTGCTGATGAGCTTCGGCGTAGCCCGGCAGGCCATCCTGCACCCGGACGAGGAGCCCACCTGGCGCCTGGCGCGCAACATCTTCTACATGCCCTACTGGATGATCTACGGCGAGGTGTTTGCCGACTCCATAGACCGTAAGACTAGAGTTCATAGTAAGGCTTCCCCTTGACGCGCTTCTGCTTTTTCATTCGTCTTCACTCCGTGCTAATATGTCCACATTGATTGATTGACAGCGACCTCACGCACATGTTGACAAGCAAAAACACAAACCCCCATATGTGCGCGCACACATGCACACTTTCTAAGGCGCACAAACACACTCAAATCCCAACCGATTCACCGAGATTCACAAATACGTGCACGCACATGCAAATGTGAACAGACGCGCGTCCAATCAGAAATGCACGCATAAAGTAACACACACACACACACACACACACACACACACACACACACACACACGCACACTAAAAGGGACACACAATGACACGCACGGTCAGCAAATTGAAGCGTTCTTGGGCTAAGGTCTGCAGCTGAGCTTCCAGTGCAGCAGGGGGCAATAGCACCTGCTTTACTCTCGACACGTCATGTCACACGTTGTTGTTGTTGTTGTTGTTGTTTTGCGTTGGTGTTGTAGTGAGATTTGTTTCGTCTTCCCGTCAGACTGACTCCGTCTTCTCCTCCTCTTCCTCCTCTTCTCTTTTTCCCCCGTTCAGTTTACGCCATGGAAATCAATCGTAAGCAACAGCAGCGGGCCGCCATCGCAACGCCATAAGAAGATTGTCACGTGTGCGTGTGTGTAAATTTGTGCGCATGTGTGTTCTGAGCACGTTTGCGTTTGTTTGTGCGCACGCGTCAGCTCCGTGCGGGGACAACATGTACGACGAGGACGGCAAGAAGCTGCCGCCATGCATACCCGGCGCCTGGCTGACTCCCGCCATCATGGCCTGCTACCTGCTGGTGGCCAACATCCTGCTGGTCAACCTGCTCATCGCCGTCTTCAAGTCAGTACGCGCGCCGGCGCTCAGCTCGGCCCGTCGCAATCGCAGCCTCGCAGTCCTCGTTTGACGTGCCAACGTTGTCCCGCGGTGTTGCCGTGGCAGCAACACCTTCTTCGAGGTGAAGTCCATCTCCAACCAGGTGTGGAAGTTCCAGCGCTACCAGCTGATCATGACCTTCCACGACCGGCCCATCCTACCCCCGCCCCTCATCGTCTTCCCTCACGTCTTCATCGTCCTCAAGCGGCTCTGCTGCCGATGCGCCGGCCGCCGGCCGCCGCGCCGCGACGCCGACCGCGACGACACCCACAGACGCCTTCGTAAGACCCCTCCCCCGCTCCCGTTAACTGAAGTACGCCGCGTAACCAAAAACGGAGTGCAACGGTGGTCTGAGTCCAGGTGTTTGTCAACGCTGTCGCGCCAAAAGCACCGCGACATTTCGTTGGCCTGAGGGAAAAGAAACGAGCCGGGATGGCAGGAGGAGGTTGATTGCGATAGGGGTCCGAGTCCAAACGTCCGCCAAATCGATGGCCTTTCCAGAGCGTGGCCGTCTTGGAAATGGGGCAACTTTGGGGGCAGGGAGGGGGGCAAAAGTGACCGGTTCTTCTCTCGATTCTTTTTGGTGCCCGACTTCAAAATGGCAACTGCGGAGTTCTCGATATCAACGGCGACATGGGAAAACGATGGACCCAAACGACACTGAGATTGCCAAAAGTTTAGTGCAACAGCGGCCCCGGTCCCAGCATCGGCCAAACCTCGCGCCATTTCTCATAAATTCAATTTTTGGGAGAAAGGTGAAGCCTGGTTTCCTGGGCGTGACCATTTTGGAAACAGGAGTTGGCCCAAACAGATCGAAACAAAACAACTAACTAGAAGCTGTGCGCAGCAATGGTCCAAGTCCAACTGTTGGCCCAATCAGTCGCCATTTCATGGGAAATGCTGAACGGGCTGTCGCTCATCTAGCGCTTTGCTACTCAAAACGCTTCACGCTGTCTCCTCATTTCCCTGCCGATGACGCAGCATTGGGAGGGTTCAGTATCTTGCTCAAGGACATTTGGACATGGCCACATTGGCCAGGGATTGAACCCACAACCTATGGATTCAACAAACTGGGTTGGGAGATGTCCCCCCGACTACTATTTCATAAATGGGTGTTAGCCCAGTTGTGCGCTGATGACTCCGAACAAATGCTCTCGAGGGCCAAACCGGACCGCCCCAACCTCCCCCCAACTATTTCAAACTAAAAATTTGGACCAGTATTCATTTAAAGACGATGCTTTTTCCAACTCTTCCGCACTTGGCCTCAAAATGGCAAAAAGTGGCTCGATTCCCTGCAGACGCCGCAAGGTAGTCGACTGGCTTTGAGATAGTTCCTTGGCGCCAAGACTTAGCCCACCCAAAATACAGCTCTGTCACAGGGATTTTCACCGCGGCGCGTGACGCCACTGATGACTTCAGTGATTCTTTGTTTGCAGAGCTGCTTCTGGGCGCGGATGAGCTGAAGAGCCTCCACGAGTTTGAGGAGCAGTGCGTGGACGAGTACTTCCGAGAAAAGGACGAGGAGAAGCAGTCGTCCAACAACGAGAGGATCCGAGTCACCTCGGAGAGGTCAGCCACCGCCCCTCCTTGAGCATTCCCTGGCAGGAAGTTGTTGAACGTGGTTCACCATTTGCTTTTTCCTTTCATGGGGTGGACAGCACGTTCACGTCTCTGGATGTGGAACGACACGGCACATTGAGGGAGCGGAAAACCCGCTGACCGCAACGCTGTCGGTTTTTGCCGCAGGGTGGAGAACATGTCCATGCGCCTGGAGGAGGTGAACGAGCGCGAGCATGCCATGAAGGCGTCCCTGCAGACGGTGGACCTGCGCCTGGCCCAACTGGAGGAGTTCTCGGCTCGCATGATGAACGCTCTGGAGAAGCTGGCGGGCGTGGAGCCCGACTGCTCCGGGGGAAGTGCCCGAGGCTCCGTGGCGGGCGACGGCGGCGGCCCCGGCTCCCCGCGCCGCCGCGGCAGCTTCGGTAGCGTCGACGCCGGCAGCCTCTACCGCTACCAGCTGGAACACGACGCCGCCTCGGTCGCCGGAAGTCCGGAGAGACGAGCGCCGTGCCCCGACACCGGTAGGACGGCGTCCTCGTGGGGAAGGGAGGGGAAAGCCAGATGGGAAGAGTGGAAAAACTCAGGCTCCCAGCCAGAGTGAAGGCTTCAAGTCTGTGTTCGGGTTTGAACTCTGTCTCGAGCTTTGCAAGCAGAGTTGGGATTTGGAATTGGCAATACATGCCACGCTTAAGGTATTAGGGTTCCAAATGAGGGTCTCTGGACAGACTTTGGGGTCCAAGCCCTAGTTTGGGTTTGAAGTTAAGATTTGAAGTATGCATGCCAAAAAGACACAGGGAATTAACTTCCCAGTTACAACCCGTTCAGAGGAGCGTAGACAAGACAGCAAAGGTGGGGGGTCGCCGTTATCACTTCAGCTTTCGAATGAGGGCTTAGCGCCAAGGTTAGGGCTTGAAGAGCCAGTCTTGGTTCCCGTCTCGATGGCAAAGCCCACACGAGCCTCTTAGCGCGCGAGCCGCCAGCTCAAAGGCCTCTTTGTGCCGCTCGCTGTCTCCAGGCGCCGTCCAGTCCCCGGAACCGGATCAAAGCCGAGAGCCCGCTCAGCCTTTCTCCGGCGTGGGCATCTTGGTCTCCCCGTGCGAGTGCGCCGACAACGAGGAGGCGGACGCCGACGATGACAGGAAGTTCCCGGCGCTGCGCTCCCAAAGTCTCAACGTCGGCTGCGGCAAGAAAAGCGGGACGCCGCGCGTGGGCTCGCCGTCGGGGCCGCGCGCGGCCGCCAGCCTAGTGGACCTCGTCCGCTCGGACGCGCGCCCAAGCCTGCCTTAAGAAGGCGGACAAGAAAGCCGTTACAAAGCATTTGGATTGTCATTTCATCATGTTCATTTCATCAGCTGTCATCAGTTTTGTTGAAACTCACTTTCAAATCTCTCACCCAAGTCAAAATGGGTCCTCCTCATGTCGAAGAAACACAGACCCCAAATCATGAATGCCATTTTGGCATTGACTCGGAACCTCGTCGCACAGCTTCTGCTGTGAAATGCCAAGAACAGAAGTGGACGGATGCCACACCAGGAGGAAAACAAGGAAAGGTTCATCATCGCATCGAGTCAACTTGGATGCAGTCGAATGATCAAATATGAAACGGGTCTCCAATTTTTGGAGGATCCTACGGAGCCCCTACTAAGGTGACGTGCTATGTCAATCACCGCGTATTGTACACTGCTTACTAAATGCAAGCATTCTTTTTGAAGCGTGTTTGTTCCCTCTTGCCCCGAAATTTCTGGGGGGGCGGAGCAACGTGACATGTACATTTTGACCTTTGTTCGTCGTTGTTATGATACGTTCTACAGAGTATAATTAAAAAATGTTCAAATTAATTATTCAAACGATGCCAGTGTGTGTGTGTGTGTGTGTGTGTGTGTGAGTGTGTGTGTGTGTGTGAGTGTGTGTGTGTGTGTGAGTGTGTGTGTGTGTGTGAGTGTGTGTGTGTGTGTGAGTGTGTGTGTGTGTGTGAGTGTGTGTGTGTGTGTGAGTGTGTGTGTGTGTGTGAGTGTGTGTGTGTGTGTGAGTGTGTGTGTGTGTGTGAGTGTGTGTGTGTGTGTGAGTGTGTGTGTGTGTGTGAGTGTGTGTGTGTGTGTGAGTGTGTGTGTGTGTGTGAGTGTGTGTGTGTGTGTGAGTGTGTGTGTGTGTGTGAGTGTGTGTGTGTGTGTGAGTGTGTGTGTGTGTGTGAGTGTGTGTGTGTGTGTGAGTGTGTGTGTGTGTGTGAGTGTGTGTGTGTGTGTGAGTGTGTGTGTGTGTGTGAGTGTGTGTGTGTGTGTGAGTGTGTGTGTGTGTGTGAGTGTGTGTGTGTGTGTGAGTGTGTGTGTGTGTGTGAGTGTGTGTGTGTGTGTGAGTGTGTGTGTGTGTGTGAGTGTGTGTGTGTGTGTGAGTGTGTGTGTGTTTTTTTTGGGGGGGGGACTTTTATTAAGAGACTGTACACAACGGAAGCATCACGTATGAGAGAAATACAACATAGATATCACGTTAAGCAAAAACATATTTTAAAATGTCAAAGTAAATAAATGAATGCCAGGGGTCCTAAATGATAATGAACATTGAAAACATTCAAATGGGAACACGATTTTTATTTGCTGCGGTGAAAAGTTGTGCTTGGAAACGACTGAACAAGCAAGTGACGCTTGCTTCTGGAATTTCGAGCGAGTCAAGACCGAAGTCTGGTTGGAACGCGGACAGGTGACGGCGCGTCACTTCCGCTTCGTCTGCTTCCGGGTCAGGTCTATTTCCAGGAAGTAGAAGATTTGTTTTGAAGTCGACGACTGTTTCGAATCGGTCCCATCTGAAAACGCGAACAAAAACCGCCGCGGTGGGTGGTCGGGGAGACAGCGACATGGCGACCACCATCAGCACACAGCGGGGAGAGGTAAAATGCTTTCTTTTTCTTTTTGGGGGGATTTTGCGGGTCACTTCCGCAATCGCATTTAAAGGCGTGCTTTGAGGCACCAAAAAACGCGACTTGGACGCGTGACTTTTCTCACCACAAAAGCGGAACGGTGGGACGGCTTTCGGGGGGGGGGATCTGGCTAATCGTCGCAATCGGCTCGTGCAGCTGGCTCCGAGCTTCGATGGCTCTATCTGCGCTGGCCGCTGAGATGTCCGCCGTGACGAGAATAGACGCCCCTCAAAGAACGGCAACGTTTCGGAGCACGTCGTTTCCCCCCCAAAACAAAAGAGCGAGCCGCTTGATTGTACTCGACGGCATCGTGACGAACGGGACTGTCGGGGATTCGCTGTTTGAACGCGACGAATTCTGGCCTCTCCTTCTGCTGTGTGCGCCTCGGCCACCGGGGGGCGGCACCATACATCTCCAATCAACGCTCATCCGGCGACTGCGGCTGTCACGAAGCGCTTTACCGGGGACATGGAATATGAAATAACAATAGCGCAACACCACTCAAAACATCAGAAGACCGACCACAATGCAATCGGAGCAACTATTCCCGCGCGCGCTTTGTGGTTTGGAGCGATTCGAGATGACCGGAGTCCTCATTGTGCCGGATTATTTGCGCGTAGGTGTACGTGGGCGAGCTCCCCCAGGACTTCCTGCGCATCACGCCCACCCATCATCATCATCAGCACCACCACCCCCACCCTCATCATCAGATTCAGTTGGACGCGCAGGCCGCACATCAGCTGCAGTACGGCGGTGCCATCGGAACCGTGGGGCGACTTAGCATCACCGTGGTCCAGGTAATGCCGCCCCATACGCAAAACAAATCTGGAATGACGAACTAACTAAATATGGGGACGATTTCTCGTCAACTCCTCTTTGCATCTCCTTTTATTTTGTGCGGTGTTCTGTTCTGATCCATCAAGTTGACTGGCGTCGGAACAACCACTTTAGCCGTAATAATACAACCCATCTTTATTGACATTGCGCTTTCACAACAGCTGCAGCTGAAACAAAAAAAAAGTTCACATCAAATAACAAAATTATAAAGCACAATACATAGAATGAAACGTGTGTCGTGTTGGCACCGCATGAAAAAAAAAAATCCCAATCCGTGTCGCCATTGGGCAAAAAACTTGAGCTGCGGTGTGAACGTAGCCTGCCAGACATCAAGTGTTGCCTGTTGATATTCTTGAGTGCGTCTCCAATCGGTGGCAATAATTGGGCGCGGAGAAGCTGTCGGCATTGGCAAAGTTCGGTGGCCTCTGATGGCGGCTATTTGGGCCTTTCAAGTTTGGTCTTTCAAGTGGATTTCAGGACAAGTCGGGCGAACGTGGGACTGGAGCGAACGGCGCGCTCACGCTCGGCGCCTGTCCCCGCTTTCTAGGCAAAGCTGGCCAAGAACTACGGCATGACTCGCATGGACCCGTACTGCCGCGTGCGCCTGGGCTACGCCGTCTACGAGACGCCGACGGCGCACAACGGAGCCAAAAACCCGAGATGGAACAAAGTCATCCAGTGCACGCTGCCCCCCGCCGTCGACTCCTTCTACCTGGAGATCTTTGACGAGGCAAGCGTCGCCGCACGCGCACACGGCCGTTGGAAACACGCACAACCGTCCACTTTATACACGCCGCAAGAACAAACTTTGTCTCATCGTTTGGGCGCCCGCGCGCGCAAGCCACTGAACACAAACGCACGAGCGCTTCCTTTTCGGGCCAGGTCTTGATTGTGTTGGTTCGTTGGCTCAGCGGGCGTTTTCCATGGACGACCGCATCGCGTGGACCCACGTGAGCATCCCCGAGGGCGTGCGGGAGGGCAGCACGGCGGACGAGTGGTTCACGCTCAGCGGCCGGCAGGGCGACGACAAGGAAGGCATGATCAACCTGGTCATGTCCTTCTCGGTGAGTTTGCGCGCCGACTCGCCTTCTTCGAATGGGCCCCCACCAAATTTCCCGCCGGTGCAAAATCAACGGCCGGGCGAGCGGTCGGTCGATGTTGAAGCGACCACGTCGCGCCGCTGACGTTGGCGCATTGTGTTTTTGCGCCGCAGTCCTTCCCGGCGGGGATGATGACGCAGCCCGTGGTCCTGATGCCCTCCGTGTACCAACAAGGCGTGGGCTACGTGCCCATCGCAGGTCAGTGCTCCGCGACGCCGCCGCTCACCAGACCTTCTGGAAGCCACCTCGAGCCGATTGTTTTGCTTTGGACGCACCCACACGTGCTTGGTGGACTTGTCGCTTGCGTTTCAGGTGCGGCGCCCGTGTTCAACCAGCAAGGCGGCGGCGGCGCTGCGCCGCCACCGCCGGCGGCGGCGGCGTGCTCCGAAGCCGACCTGAAGGCCCTGCAGGACATGTTCCCCAACCTGGAGCGGGACGTGGTGCGCAGCGTCCTGGAGGCGCAGCAGGGCGACAAAGACGCCGCCATCAACTCGCTGCTGCAGATGGCCGAGGAGCTGTGAGCGCGCCCGGCGCCGCGCCTCCTTCCTTCCTCCGTCACGCGAAGCCCACCCGGACCCCCACCCCCTCATCCTTTTCAAGCCACCGTGACCCTTTGGTCATTTCCTTGCGGTGGGCGCGTCCTTGCCACGCCGCGCCGCAGCCCTCTTCCCCGCCATTCGGCCGCAACCTCCATTTTCACGACGAGTGTCTGCTCTCCGCGCGCAAGATCTCGCTGGCCAAAGAAGTCGAATAAAGGCGTGAAATGGGAAGGTTGTCGTCGTTTCGTCGTGGAGGCTTTCATTCGCGGATGCGTTGCGGCTTTTTCCTTCAATTCTTCAATTTATTTGGGGGGGGGGGTCAATCGTCAAAAATGATCAAGCTTTGGCCTCGATAGCTGTATGTCAGTGAGATTTTGTTAACGGCGGCGAACGAATGCAAAGAGTCGCTCGGTCCCCTTTCCATTCATCTCATCATTGGCTCGCCAACGTCTTTCACAGGCAAACTCGGCCCACGTTGGCAGTGCCGCGCTTGCGTCGCCATCGAATGAATGCTTTCTCTTGCGATAGACGAACAGGCCTTGGAAGATCCTTTTCTGTAGTGACGGGACGCCGAGAGCTTAAGAGTGAAACCTGGTCTCAGTGCGTGTATTGCTTTAAGGAAGAATCACGTGACCGATACAGGAACTGAATGGTTCGAATGTGCCGCGCCAAAGTGTGATTATAAGGAAACAAACTGTATCGACCTGACGTGGGTTTGTTGCCTGGAGTTTTCTGAAATTATGGATCGTTCGAAGAAGTTTTCCCCAATTGTGATCTTGGTCAGTCTTTCTCTCCTTTGAACATTGTTTACCGCTCGATACAATTTTTTTACGGCGGCGCATTGCACCCACTTTATCAGTTCATCAAGTGAATGACCTGTTATCCATATGATAGTCAGCTAAAGAGCCTTACAGTTGCTTTATTCATTTTATCTGATAGTTGCGAGATCCTCCATAATTGAAGTCCAACGCTGCCTGTCAGAAGCAAACACACCCTTGACAATATTGGAAATGGAACCAAAAAACATGTCCACATCTGCATTATCTTTCATTGAAAACTCTCTGCTAACCATCGTCATCTGAACCATGTGAAAGCGTATTTTCTGAGGCTGTGGAGCTGGTGTCCAAGAGGAGAAATCGCCTTTCGACTCTTTTGTTCTTCAATAAAAATTCATCGTCACTTTTTTGTCTTTTATTTCACACGATTTAACAAAAATTTTCAACATCAATTAAAAATTGTAACTGAATTGTAATTCAAATTTGCTATGTTTTACATACCAACTCCATTTAGCATTTACACAAACAAGGAATTTCTTTACCTGCAGTGATTTTATAACTACTGGAGGGGTCACTATTGGGTGACCAACACAGTGTCAATACCGTGCTGACACAGTTTGTGAGGTGTGTCAATACACTCCTTGAGGTATCATCGTCCCATCACTACTTTTCTGTATGCCGTTTGTTTTTCGAAATGGCCCGGCCCCCAGTCGGCTCTCTGAGCTCCCCCAACCTGGAGCACCCGCCCGGCGCACGTGCCGGACGCCGCCGGCGGAGCTTCGGAGGGGACGGAGTCTTCTCCGTCGCTTCCCTCTGGAATGACCTTCCGTGACATGTTAGGCGGGCCCCACCCGTCCCCGTCCATTTTCAAAACTCGCTCGCATCTTTATTCTTTGGATTTTGACCCGATGAGAGACGGCCAGCGTTTGGTGGTTTACCGCGCATGATTCGTTTGTGTTGCGATTGACCGCTTTCACCTTCTTGTTGTATTCTTGTTCTATTTGTGAAACGCATCGTTCCAGCCGCAGCTGTTGTGACGCGCGCGACAGAACTCAAGTTGCATTGTATCGTCCCATATTGTCGTCTCGTGACAGGAAGACAAAAACGAGTCTTGAAACCGCATCCACGGAGTCATTTCTCGATGCGTTTATTGCCCAAATGTTTTCCGAAGCGGGAATTGGCAGGAAGACCGAGCGGGAGCGCCGGCCGGCTCACGGTCCTGGCAGCTCCTCGAGGCAGGCCGCGGCGCCGCAGCGACACGCTTCCACCACGATGGCGCTGTGCCGCAGCCTGGATCCGTCGGGGCAGGTCAGCTCCACCGGCCGCCGGCTGGTGGCGCTCTCTCTGCAGCACTGGCACCGGCGAGTCATGGCGTCGGCGGCCGCGTAGTACCTGCAATTTGACGGTTGGCCCAAATCGCATTAGAAACGATGGCGGGAGTGCAGTTCTTCGCCGGCCCCAAAAAGAAAGGACTTTCTTGACCACATCACTTTTTCCTGAATCGGCTTGCCAATTAACTCCTTCAGTACCAGTCAATTCTAGACCAAGTCTGAAAAGATGTTGAAAAACGTCTTTGGGAGTGAATGAGTTGAGAGAATTGCCTGCCCTTTTTCGGCCAACTATGGGACGGGGTGTTTTCAGAAATTCCAAAAGTTCATTTTCAACAACCCCGAAAAATCGGGGCTTTGAACTCGGAACGTTTTTGGGGCCGCGGGCGGGGCTCGACAGCCAGCTGTGTGGCCGTCAATCTCCGATCGTGCAATTGTTGACGATTTATTGCCCGGCCTGATCGCGTTCGGCCACGTCAGGCCGTCATCTCGGCCTCGATCGAACCGTCGTTGTAAACGAGCCCAACCCGCAGCGCCGGCGGCAACTCACGTGGACGAGCTCTCGCATTGCCCGGCGCAGGAAGTGACGTTGACGGGTCCGGCGCTGCGACAGCCGTTCACCTCCAAGACGGTGGCTCGCGTCCGCACTTGGCACACGTTGCGCAGCTCACCTAAAACAAGTGCATTGCATTACATCGGTGGCTGACGCCACGACCACTTCACGGTTAAAAAAAAAAAAAAAAAGAGGAAAACTTACAACGTCGACAGCAGCCGTTGACGTCGGTGGTCTCGCTGCCCTGCAACGTGAAGCTTAATGATCATGAGCGATTCGCTTGTTCGCAAAGATGGCACTGAAAACGAAGCCCCGCGACGCCGTCGCCTTCTCGCGTCGCGAGTTTGACCCATCGGTTTTTGCTTTGGGGTCAGTGAAGGAGTGCAGAATGAATCCATTCTGAGTCGGTTGCGGAACTGGAGCAAAACTTTATTTGGATTATTTTTCCTTGCCTCGTCGTTCCCCGCGCTTGCTTGAATTGGGACTACTGAAATGACTGAATCAAACGATGAAACGGTGTGGCGGCGTTCGGCAGGGTGGGGGTGGTTGTGACTTACGGGTCGGCAGTCCAGCGGGTTGAAAGGGGGGCAGGTGGTCTTGGTCTCCTTGGTGTGCAGGTGCCCGTTGACACGCTGGCACGTGAACGTCATACAGGCGTCGCCGGGCCACACCCACGTGCTGTCCACCTGCACGCGTGCCAAACAAACACACGCCCACACATGACGGCGGTGTCCTTGTGCTCGTGTCGTCGCTTTGTGTGCGCGTATTCGTGTCACCTCTACGACGTGCGAAGCGTTGTCGGGAGTGAACACGACGCAGCCGGTGGTGTCGGGGGCGAGCGCCGGGCAGAGCCCGGGTCGTGTCTCCACTTGACAGGATGCGTTGCAATACGCCACAAAACACCAGCCAAAACCGTCGCTCGCGTTGTACACAAATTCACCTGCAAAGGCACAAAAATGAACATCTCAAGCTTGTTGGGAATGTTGCATTTTATCCACATTGAAGCGATGGCGGTACCTTGACTTGTTGCATGTTTCCTTTGTTTTTAAAGAGGACTCGAGTGCACAATATACATGTGAATGTGATAAAACTTTCAAAAGGAGAATGTTAAGAAATCAACTGCTATGAGATATAATCAGTGATTCAAAAGTCACGCAGGCGCGCACGTCATGTTCTATTTGTGTGCTGCTGTAAAGGAGCCCCGCCCAGTGGGAGCCCTGCACGAGCCCGGGCCCCGTTCAGTAAACAGCCACTGCGTTTTCACTTCGCTTGAGCACGGGCATTTCGGAAGCCTCGATAAACCCGGAAGTCAAGGTACCACTGCAAAGGCAGGGTGACCTACCAGGACGGTACGTAGTCCCGTTGAAAAAACAGGAACACAACGTTGGGTTGACTGGGAGAGAAGAGGTGGAGGCTGTGTTCCTGTCTCGCCTGGTCGTGCTTGTTGGACTTGTGAACACAGTCTCAGTGCCGGCAAGGGTTTGTGTTATGGGTCTGATAATTGTGGTCCCAAGAACATGCGTTGGAGTCAAATCAGTGGTGTCTACGACTGAAGGATTTGTAATCACAACAGTTGTTTGTGGTTCTCCAAGGAAAACACCCTCAGTGGTTGAGGGTGTTCTGGTGGTACTATGAAAAGGTTGGGATGCGGCTCCCATGTATTGTGTCGCTTTTATTGTTTCACCAACAGCTGTAGTAGATGTGGTCGTTGGCCCAGAGGTGACTCTGGGTGTTGTTTTACTCTTGAATGTGGTTCCCTCTGTCACGGTTGTTTCTCCATGTCTGGTGGTAGTTGTGGTAACCACAGACTGTTGGGGGGTTGGTCCTTTGGATTCGGTAGTTGTTGTAAAATCTGGTCCAGTGGATGGAGTTTTCCCTTCAACGGTGGTTGAGGTGGTGGTTGGGTCAGTGGTGAATCCAGGTCTCATCTCACCGCGTCGAGCAGTAGTTTCCCCCTTGGGTGTTGTTGGAACATTTATCATCGAGGTACGAAAATAGGGTTGGGATGTTGCTCCCGTGTATTGAGTCGTTTTTGTCGTTTCACCAACAACTGTAGTAGATGTGGTCATTGGCCCAGCGGTGACTCTGGGTGTTGTTTTACTCTTCACTGTGGTTCCCTCTGCCGTGGTTGTTTTTCCGGGTCTGTTGGTAGTTGTGGTAACCACAGAGTGTTGGGAGGTTGGGCTTTGGATTTGGCAGTTTTTGTGGTAAAATCTGGTCCAGTGGATGGAGGTTTCCCCACAATGGTGGTTGAGGTGGTTGTTGGACCAGTGGTGAATCCAGGTCTAGTTGTCTCACCTCGTCCAGTTGTTTTCTCACTTGTAGTCGTTTCTCTGGGTCGAGCAGTAGTTTCGCCCTTGATTGGTGTTGGAAGATTGACAGTCATGGTTCTAAAATAGGGTTGGGATGTTGTGCCTGTGTATTGTGTCGCTGTTGTTTCACCAACAACTTTCTGAGACATGATTGCTGGTGCAGCAGTGACTCTGGGGATTGTTTTACTCTTGATGGTGGTTCCCTCTGCCGTGGTTGTTTCTCCAGGTCTGTTGGTAGTTGTGGGAACCACAGAGTGTTGGGAGGTTGGCACTTTGGATTTGGCAGTTTTTGTGGTAAAATCTGGTCCAGTGGATGGAGGTTTCCCCACAACGGTGGTGGAGGTGGTTGTTGGACCAGTGGTGAATCCAGGTCTCATTGTCTCACCTCGTCCAGTTGTTTCCTCACTTGTAGTTGTTTCTCTGCGTTGAGCAGTAGTTTCGCCCTTGGTTGGTGTTGGAACATTGATAGCCGTGGTACTAAAATCGGGTTGGGATGTTGCGCCTGTGTATTGTGTCGCTGTTGTTGTTTCACCAACACTTGTCGAAGACGTGGTCGCTGGCCCAGCGGTGACACTGGGTGTTGTTTTGCTCTTGACTGTGGTTCCCTCAGCCATGGTTGTTTTTCCGGGTCTGTTGGTAGTTGTGGGAACCACAGACTGTTGGGAGGTTGGTTCTTTGGATCCGGTAGTTGTAAAATGTGGTCCAGTGGATGGAGTTTTCCCTTCAACGGTGGTTGAGGTGGTGGTTGGGCCAGTGTTGAATCCAGGTCTCGTTGTCTCACCTCGTCCAGTTGTTTCCTCACTTTTAGTTGTTTTCTTGTGTTGAGCAGTAGCTCCCCCCTTGGGTGTTGGTGGAACATTTATCGTCGAGGTACGAAAATAGGGTTGGGATGTTGCGCCTGTGTATTGTGTCGTTTTTGTCGTTTCACCAACAACTGTCATAGCCGTGGTCGCTGGCCCAGCGGTGACTCCTGGTGTTGTTTCACTCTTGACTGTGGTTCCCTCTGCTGCGGTTGTTTCTCCGGGTCTGGTGGTAGTTGTGATAACCACAGACTGTTGGGAGGTTGGTCCTTTGGATCCGGTCGTTGTTGTAAAATGTGGTCCAGTGGATGGAGTTTTCCCTACAACGGTGGTTGTTGGACCAGTGGTGAATCCAGGTCTCGTTGTCTCACCTCGTCCAGTTGTTTTCTCACTTTTAGTTGTTTCTCTGCGTCGAGCAGTAGTTTCGCCCTTGTTTGGTGTTGGAACATTGATAGCCGTGGTCCTGAAATCGGGTTGGGATGTTGCTCCCGTGTATTGTGCTGCTCTCGTCGTTTCACCAACATCTGTCGTAGATGTGGTCGTTGGCCCAGAGGTGACTCTGGGTGTTGTTTTACTCTTGAATGTGGTTCCCTCTGTCACGGTTGTTTCTCCAGGTCTGGTGGTAGTTGTGGTAACCACAGACTGTTGGGAGGTTGGTCCTTTGGTATCAGTAGTTGTTGTAAAATCTGGTCCAGTGGATGGAGTTTTCCCTTCAACGGTGGTTGAGGTGGTGGTTGGGCTAGTGCTGAATCCAGATCTCGTTGTCTCACCTCGTCCAGTTGTTTCCTCACTTGTAGTTGTTTCTCTGCGTTGAGCAGTAGCTCCCCCCTTGGGTGTTGTTGGCACATTGTTAGTCGTGGTACTAAAATAGGGTTGGGATGTTGCGCCTGTGTATTGTGTCGCTGTTGTTGTTTCACCAACACTTGTCGAAGACGTGGTCGCTGGCCCAGCGGTGACACTGGGTGTTGTTTTGCTCTTGACTGTGGTTCCCTCAGCCATGGTTGTTTCTCCAGGTCTGTTGGTAGTTGTGGGAACCACAGAGTGTTGGGAAGTAGGGCCTTTGGATTTGGCAGTTTTTGTGGTAAAATCTGGTCCAGTGGATTGAGTTTTCCCTACAACGGTGGTTGAGGTGCTGGTTGGGTCAGTGCGAAATCCAGGTCTCGTTGTCTCACCTCGTCCAGTTGTTTCCTCACTCGTAGTTGTTACACCGCGTCGAGCAGTAGTTCCCCCCTTGGGTGTTGTTGTAACATTTATCGTCGAGGTACGAAAATAGGGTTGGGATGTTGTGCCTGTGTATTGTGTTGCTGTTGTTTCACCAACAACTGTCATAGACGTGGTCGCTGGCCCAGCGGTGACTCTGGGTGTAGTTTCACTCTTAACTGTGGTTCCGTCTGCTGTGGTTGTTTCTCCAGGTCTGTTGGTAGTTCTGGTTACCACTGACTGTTGGGAGGTTGGTTCTTTGGATCCGGTAGTTGTAAAATGTGGTCCAGTGGTTGAGGTGGTGGTTGGACCAGTGGTGAATCCAGGTCTCGTCTCACCTCGTCCATTTGTTTTCTCACTTTTAGTTGTTTCTCCGCGTCGAGCGGTAGTTTCGCCCTTCGTTGGTGTTGGAACATTGACAGCCGTGGTACTAAAATATGGTTGGGATGTTGCTCCCGTGTTTCGTGTCGCTGTTGTCGTTTCACCAACAACTGTCGTAGATGTTGTCGCTGGCCCAGCGGTGACTCTGGGTGTTGTTTCACTCTTGACTGTGGTTCCCTCTGCCCTGGTTGTTTCTCCAGGTCTGTTGGTAGTTGTGGTAACCGCAGAGTGATGGGAGGTTGGACCTTTGGATTTGGCAGTTTTTGTGGTAAAGTCTGGTCCAGTGGATGGAGTTTTCCCGACAATGGTGGTTGAAGTGGTGGTTTGGCCAGTGGTGAATCCAGATATAGTTGTCTCACCTCGTCCAGTTGTTTCTTCACTTGTCGTTGTTTCTCTGCGTCGAGCAGTAGTTCCCCCCTTGGGTGTTGTTGGAATATTTATCGTCGAGGTACGAAAATAGGGTTGGGATGTTGCTCCCGTGTATTGAGTCGTTTTTGTCGTTTCACCAACAACTGTAGTAGATGTGGTCATTGGCCCAGCGGTGACTCTGGGTGTTGTTTTACTCTTCACTGTGGTTCCCTCTGCCGTGGTTGTTTCTCCGGGTCTTTTGGTAGGCGTGGTCACCACAGACTGTTGGGAGGTTGGGACTTTGGATTTGGCAGTTTTTGTGGTTAAATCTGGTCCAGTGGATGGAGGTTTCCCCACAGTGGTGGTTGAGGTGGTTGTTGGACCAGTGGTGAATCCAGGTCTCATTGTCTCACCTCGTCCAGTTGTTTTCTCACTTGGAGTTGTTTCTCTGGATTGAGCAGAAGTTCCCCCCTTGCTTGTTGGAACATTAATAGCCGTGGTACTAAAATAGGGTTGGGATGTTGCACCTGTGTATTGTGTCGCTGTTGTTGTTTCACCAACACTTGCCGAAGACGTGGTCACTGGCCCAGCGGTGACTCCTGGTGTTGTTTTACTCTTGAATGTGGTTCCCTGTGTCACGGTTGTTTCTCCAGGTCTGGTGGTAGTTGTGGTAACCACAGACTGTTGGGAGGTCGGTCCTTTGGATTTGGCAGTTTTTGTGGTAAAATCTGATCCAGTGGATGGAGTTTTCCCTACAACGCTGGTTGGGCCAGTGGTGAATCTAGGTCTCATTGTCTCACCTTGTCCAGTTGTTGGACTGGTAGTTTTTTCTCCACGTCGAGTAGTAGTTCCCCCCCTGGGTATTGTTGGAACATTTATCGTCGAGGTACGAAAATCGGGTTGGGATGTTGCTCCTGTGTATTGTGTCGTTTTTGTCGTTTCACCAACTGTCATAGACGTGGTCGCTGGCCCAGTGGTGACTCCTGGTGTTGTTTCACTCTTGACTGAGGTTCCCTCTGCTGCGGTTGTTTGTCCGGGTCTGGTGGTAGTTGTGGTAACCACAGACTGTTGGGAGGTTGGTCCTTTGAATCCGGTAATTGTTGTAAAATGTGGTCCAGTCGATGGAGTTTGCCCTACAACGGTGGTTGAGGTGGTTGTTGGACCAGTGGTGAATCCAGGTCTCGTTGTCACACCTCGTCCAGTTGTTTCCTCACTTGTAGATGTTTCGCCGCGTCGAGCAGTAGCTCCCCCCTTGGGTGTTGTTGGCACATTGTTAGTCGTGGTACTAAAATAAGGTTGGGATGTTAAGCCTGTGTATTGTATTGCAGTTGGCGTTTCACCAACAACTTTTGTAGACGTCGTCATTGGCCCAGCGGTGGCTCCTGGTGTTGTATTACTCCTCACTGTGGTTCCCTCTGCCGTGGTTGTTTCGCTGGGTCTGTTGGTAGTTGTGGTAACCACAGACTGTTGGGAGGTTGGGCCTTTGAGTTCGTTAGTTGTTGTAAAATCTGGTCCAGTGGATGGAGGTTTCCCCACAATGGTGGTTGAGGTGGTTGTTGGACCAGTGGTGAATCCAGGTCCCGTTGTCTCACCTCGTCCAGTTGTTTTCCCATTTGTAGGTATTTCTCTGGGTCGAACAGTAGTTCCCCCCTTGCTTGTTGTTGGAACATTAATAGTCGTGGTCCTAAAATAGGGTTGGGATGTTGCTCTCGTGTATTGTGTCGCTGATGTCATTTCACCAACAACTGTCGTAGATGTGGTCGTTGGCCCAGGGGTTCCTCCGGGTGTTTTTTCACGCTGAACGGTTGTTCCCTCTGCCGCCGTTGTTTCTCCGGGTTTGTTGGTAGTTGTGGTCACCACAGACTGTTGGGAGGTTGGTCCCTTGGATCCGGTAGTTGTTGTCAAATCCGTTCCAGTGGATGGAGTTTTCCCGACATCTGTGGAAGGGATGCCAACTTGCCCTATTGTTCCAACTGTTTTTTCATGTTTTCCTGTTGATTTTTCATCATGTGTGGTTCGGTCCGTGGTTAACTTTGCAGTTGTAGGTGTCAAAGTAACACCTGTAAAACAATCAGATTGTCAACATTGTGACTCGTTATCAACATTCAACTATCAACCGTTGTTCATACCATCTGTCGTCATTCCCAATGTGCTGAAGTTGAGCGGCGAGGTGTGCGGTGTCGGGCCGACGATTGTGAAACATGGATAAACCTCGCGGCTCACAGTCCCGTTGGGTCCGCATGTCGCTGCGATGCAGTTTCCGAGCCCATCCGTCGTGTTGTAGATGGTGGCGCCATACGTGTATGTTTTGCCGTTGACGAAGCACATACACCCTGACATTCGGGAAATATCACACATTCACTGGAAGGAATGAACATTCCAATTACGCACCGTCGCTTCAGCTACTCACTGCTTCTGGTGTAGCTACACTCTATTCCAGATGCTGTACACAAGCTTTAAGAAACATTAGATCGTGGTTAACACAGCATCAAAAGCGCGTCTCTTTTAGAGGTTCTCAAACTTGGGTCCCCACCCAGACCCGGCGGGGTTTGAGGTCCACAGAATAACCAGCAATTATTGCTCCCATGGCATTTAGACATGCACATGTTATGTTCATTGGCATTAGGACTGTGAGGAGGTTAAGGGGAAAAAATTCTCTCCTACCAGGGTTCCTTTGGACACAAAAAGTTTGAGAAGCCCTAGTCGATGCAACATATGGTGGTGAGGTATACCAAGTGTGACAATTCTCAGCAGGAACCGCCTCTCCCGCGTCGTAGTGGGCGTTCCGGTTGTCATAGCAACCGCAGCGTTCCCACGATACACACGTCATGTTGTCCTCGTCAAAGTACGGACGACTGAGAGGACACTCTGGGTAGCATCCTGAAACAAGACAACACTCGCTTCCTGGGGTGACCACCACATTCCCGTGGACCGCAACACAACACTTGCGTGGACCCGAATCACCAGATTCGTTCCGGTCAAACGTGTGTACCTTCTAGGCCGCTGATGAGCTGCGAACAACTCCCCGAAGGATTCCTGCAAGTCTTCATGCAGTCAGCTCCACACGACTTGTAGTGCCACTCGCAGCCCCCGGGGGCGTTGTAGTAGTCGCAAAAGATGGCTGCGGTGGAACACGTCGCATCAGCGGATGAGCTCGCGACTGACCGACGGCTTGATTGAGAGCTTGCCGCAGGACTTACGGCAGAATTGGGGCCTCCGCCATCGTACGCAAGCTCCGGCCTCACTGCAAGCCTTGGAGTAGGCCGCCACCGCCGTGCACACGCACTCGCTGTCGCCGCTGCTGTCGCACGCGCACGCGTCACGCACACACGCGTCGTAGTACGGACCGGGATCCACCTGGAACAGAACGTAATTCTCTTCCTTCACGGCCATCTGTGAAGTCATTTCGGAATATCCCAAATGAAACAGTTTGATGTCACCACGAAGGTAAGGAGACAAAATACATGAAATAAAGCATGAAAAACATTCTCTTTTGTAAATTTGACAAATCATCGTTGTCTCCAAGTCAAACCCTGGCCGCTGTCTTTCTTTTTCATCATCAACTGGGTAAGTAATTTTGAAAAATCCCAAACAAAATATTTTCGTCATCCAAGAAAATCCAATCAATCGAGCGTGAACAAATTATTTCTATTTCCTAAATTCCACCAAGTAATCGTTTTCCCGAAGCGAGGTCCTGGCGAGTGTTGATCAACTGACTATGGAACGTGTACAAAGCCGGTCAGAAATCCATTGGGAAAGCGGCCTGTCAGACCTATTTAAAGAAATTGGAGGATGACGGGATTGTTGGCAAGATGCACGCCGAACCGTCCATGTATGAGGAATGGCGATGCGGAAAAGGTTGCGGGATCTCCTGTCAGGTTCTGTCTTCAATTGCGACTTTGGTTCCAGTTACCCGTGAGTGGCAGGCCTGGAAGGTGGGCCCGATGATGACGCCGCACCGCCTCTCCGCCCACTCCGCACGGTAGCGGTTGTTGCCGCACGGGTCCGACAGCGAGCCGAGGCGTGCGGCGGCGGGGCAGTCGGACTCCGAGGCCGTCCAGCCGCTCGCGAACTCCAGCGCGTCGGCGACGCTCTCTCCGGAACGCTTGGCCAGGTCGTTGCGAATGTTTCCGTCATAGTTGCCGCACAGACCGCACACCTTGCCCTGGGGAGGGACAGCAACCACGCCGTTTTTCTCTCGGACAACCGGGATTCCTGATTGCGTCACGGCAAGGAGACGGCAATCTTACGTTCGTCGTTCAAATGCGACTGGTCAACATGCACTCAGTCTGCTCTACTCCAAATTTCGAAATGATCCTCTTTTTCCGCATACACGTCTGAATGTTGGATTGCCGAGCTAACCTCATCCAACGTAACCTCATCTCATTTCATCCAACATAACCTGACCTGATCCGATGCAATCGGATTTCATTTGATCCAAGCGGACTTCATGTCAACGAAGCTAAAATGAGTCTGACCTGATAGCGTGGCGCCAGTTTGATGAAGACGGAGGTCTTCTTGTCCCACATGACGACGACTCCCGGTTCAATGGTGACCACCGTGTAGATGCCCATCTGGCGCACCTGAGCCGGAAAAAGCCGGCGCCGGCTCCGGATGACGTGGAACTTCTCCTCCCTCAGGTGGTATTCTTCATCGTCCTGTTGGCGTTGGGAGAATCATCGTCCAAAGCGTACCGGACGTCGAGGCTCCTGGAAGTGTACTTGCAAATTTTGCAAATCTCTCCATTGTGGGCCAAATAAAGCTTTTCTTATGATTTTTCAAGCCGCCGTGAAAATGTACTTTGCAGCCTACTTTCATCAACGTGTGCGTGAATGAACGCGTTGATCAAACGTGATTCAAATAGAAATGGGGGGGGGGTGAATGGATACATTTAAAGCGCACCGCAATTGAAATGGGATTGAAAGTGCACTTGGTGGAACTTATTTATTTGATTTATTTTTGGGTGGCGATTAGTGTCTTTGAAGAACACGTTGAACACAGATCCTTTTCTTGTGGATGAAATCCGAACTGCGACAAGAAAAGTGGCACTGAATGTTAGTGAATAAAATCCAAAATCAAAACCGGGGGGGGGGGGGGTGGGGGGGGGGGGGTCCTGCACTTGTGTGCTTGCAGGTTCATTTCAGAGAAAGTAATAAGTAAGTGTTTGCCGACCTGGACAAAGATCTTCACCATCTTGGAGCAGGATGTGGTTGCCGAGCTTCCGCATGCAACGTTCCTGCTGACAATCCGGAAACTTCCCTCCGTCTCGTTGTCTCCGCAGTAGTCCTGACACACACACACACACACACACACACACACACACACACACACACACACGCCTTAGTGTGTATTGTGTTTCCTGTACGAGTGTCTCTCGGGAGTTTGGACGCGTGTTGACGGACGGGACTGTTGTGTGTGAACGTGCGTTTGGCGAGTTCGTGTGTGGATGTTTTTTTTTTTGTTGCTTGCATCACGTGCGTTCCATGCCCGAGCGCGTGTTGTGTTACCTGCACGAGCGTGTGTTCACACTGTCCCGGAAAGTCAATCCTCTTGTCGTCAAAGGTGATGAGATGTCCGTTGCCATAGATGGCGCACACAGCATCGCACACATTGCTGGTGCAGGTGAACTTTCTGCCTGCGCAGGTGCTGCGTGCGCGGACACACACACACGCACACACACACACACACCAAAGACAATCATGTACACACACACACACACACACACATACACACACACCAAAGACAATCATGTTGCAGCCTAACCAGTCGTTGGCGGTCTACCGGTAGTCCGCGGACTGGTCCCAAGCCAACCGTGAAAAATATGTGTGTGTGTGTGTGTGTGTGTGTGTGTGTGTGTGTGTGTGTGTGTGTGTGTGTGCCGGTGGCTCGTGATCGGCATCATGGGAAGTGGTTAGCGATCAGACCTGTGGCGATGGATCTTCTTGAATTTGGTCACCTCTTATCCCACGTTTGTTCGACCTGCAATTCACCGAAGAATGGGACCCTGCAGCGCCAGCGCCAGCATTTTCCAACGGTACACGCCGGCGTCGATCGTTCGCCGTTTGTGCACTTAACGCGCGAGGAAAGTGCGTCAGGTCTCCCGCGAAGGTAATAATAATAATAATAATACATTTCATTTATAAGCGCCTCTCAAAACACGCAAGGTAGGCGCTGATTTCCCGTTGACAAACTCCCGTCTTGTCATTGTATCTAGTTTTCGGTTTCGTTCATGTTCGGGGCAGTGATGAGACCAAAATGTCTCGAAAAGAGACCAAAAGATCGGGCACCGGGGCTCCAAGCACAAATCCAGCAGTCCGGTGACAACTTTGAGTCAAATGCGAATTGTTGTCCACCAGGGGGCAGTAACATACATGACGTCCAACATTCTTGGCTTGTTTTTTTGTTTTTCTGGTTGGCGATTTCTTTTTCTTTTCTGCAAGTTTATTTTTTTTTTTGGGGGGGGGGGGAGCAAAAATGAGAGTTCAAAATGAACCCACCAGGTGTTGCAGTCCACCTGGAGGACATGTCCGGGCCGGTAGGTCTGGCCGTTGTGGACGCAGGGGCATCCGCCGGCCTCGATGCAGCCCCCGAGCCCGTCCGACACCAGACCGTCGGGACAGGCGCACCCCGACACGCAGCCGTGGCTGATCTGTCATTTGGAAACCGGCGGGTGGGCGGGGGGATTGCCGTCGTTTGCGCAGCGTGGACGTGCGCCAGCGCGCACTTACGCATGCCGTGTCCAGGGTGGCGCAGCTGCTCTCACATTCGGTCCCGGTGGTGCCCGGCGGGGCCGCCAGACAGTCCACGTAGACCTTTGGGGCCGGGCACTCGTGGGCTGCCCCCCAAAACACCGCAATATGTCAGAAATAGGGAAAATGCCATCACAAGGAAGAAACGCCAATTGGCAAATATCGCGCCGGCCCGATCCCAAAATGTTGCCCTGTCAAGGTGGTCTGGTCGGAGCGACTCACGGCAGAAGGTGGCGTTCCTCCACGCGCCCGGCGTTCCTCCGGCGCGCACGCACTGTCGCGAGAGCTCGGACGCGCTTTGGCACAGGGCCGTCGGGGCCGGCCGATCCTCGCCGCATGCGCAGACGTCGGACCTGCACGCTCGGGCCAAAGCGTCGGCGTCCACGAGGTTCCGACAGCCGCTGAAGGCCGCGCCCGAAAAGAGCCGTGCGCACAACTCCTGCGAAGCGCAGCGGACAGCGGCCCGTCACTCACCGGGGGCGGGCGCCGCGCCTCGACCGCCGAGCGGCCGCTCGCGTCGCCCTTGAAGCGGCGCGACTCGGACAAAGGGAGCGCTGACCTCGTGGCCGCAGTCGGGCCGCGGGGCGGGCTCGTCTCCGGCTTCGTCGCACGTCTCCGCCGGTCCGCCGACTTTGTGCCGGGCGGCGTATTCGGCGACGGAAAGCGGCGCTCCTGCGCGCCGGGCGCACGCCACGTCAACGCCGGCCATTCGCCAACTCGCCTTTCGTGTGGCTCACTCACCGTCTTTGGCAAACTCGTTGTCGATTCCGTCAAAGTTCCCGCAGAGGCCGCAGAGCGAGCCCTCGTATTTGCCGTCCATCTCGATCTGAAACACACGCGAGCGCATCACCGGCGCATCTTTTCGCCCCCTCGATGGAAAGCGATTGGCCGGATCGATGACATTCAAGCCTCGCTTCCTTGAATTGCCTCATGGACACGGATCGAGTCGTTTGGGGCGATTTTTGGAGCCTGACCTCATTCCGGTCCCGTAACCGGATGGTTGATTGTTTGGTTTCGTTATTTTTTTTTTCTTCAGTGAGGTTGACTGTCGAAGCGCAATTGAAGAGAGCTGGCCCAGTGCACTTTGGAAGAGGATCTTCAAATGCGCACGAAAGCACATCTTGTCGTTCACTTTCAAGCGCATCGCCAAATGCCATCTCATGATCATGCGTGCGTGCGTGCGTGCGTGCGTGCGTACGCTCAGGGCGTCTTCGAGGTTCCAGACCAGTTGGATTCCGAATCTGGACCGGACCAGGAGGCCTGCCGAAGCGTTCTCGATCACCAGGCCCGGCTCCACCACAGGAAGTGACACGCTGCGCGCACACAGACAAAAAAAAAAAGCCGTCAAGGTCTCACACAAGGTGGCGCTCTGCTCTGCGTTGCGTGCTGACTCTCCCGGATGGCTCCGACGTGGCTGCCGTTTCAAAATGTCTTTCAAGCTCAAGCCTTTGGCCTCTCTTTGGGTTTCAGTTTCTTTCGCCTCCCTTCTGGCCAGCTCCGTTATGGCCTCTTCTGACTCCAATCGATCAATCGCGGCTCAACTTCTGCGGCACCTTTTGCCCTCAAAGCGTGACGCTGATCGCTCGCCAACGCAAACGATCCGTCCACCGTCGCGTCGAAAGGGCGGCTGCGGTTGAAAAAGGAGCCTTCGCGCCGCCGTGACAATTCGTAAGACGCCGTAGTCGATCGGGATGGGGGCGGACTGATATCGGGTTTCGGTATCGGGCGCAGAACACCCTTGTTTGAAGGGATCGGGCACTGGTAGAGGGTGGCGGTACCCGCCGTCACCACAGAGACAAAATTAAAAAAAGCTTTGACTCATTCCAGAGAAAACTTTTGATTGACGTTCAAAAACAAATCAAGCAAATAAAAAGCAAACGTCCGCTCACCTTTTCCCATTGACTCGCACGGCGCCGTGCGGCCGCAGCTCCAGCACGTCGGCGTCCAACCTGACCAGCACCGCCTGGATGGCGTCGGCGCCGGCGCCGCGGGCCGCCCGGCGTCTCACCTGCACGTCGAAGCTTTCGTAGCCGTCGCCGTCGCAGTCGCCGACCGCTCGGTGGTTGCACGACGACGGCAGGCGGAAGAAGGCGCCGTCGGCCGTGCGCCAGTGGGAGCGCCCCCACGAGGAGCACACCCCGGCCGCGGACGGCGAAGCGTTCACTTGGCGGAGGGAAAACAGAGAGAAGCCATCAATGGGCAAATTGGCAACGCCGGACCGGTCGCCGGTCCACACAAATGGAACCGACCGCGGACTGGACTGGCCCGCGCTTGGACAGGCGCGAGCTCATCACATCACTCTGAAAACAGATATGAGAAGTCCAAAATGGGTCAATTTGATGGTCGCACCTGCGTCGGCGCGGCAGCCGGAGAGCGGCGCCAGGAGCAGCAACAAAGCGGCGGCCGTCCGAAAGGCGGTGCCGGAACCCATGTCGCCGTGAGCGGTCGCCGATGAGCGTGAGGAGCGCGGTGCGCAACGGGCCCGCCTTTATACGGCCCCTCGCCTCAGACCTCCCCCGAGCGCTCGCGCACCTGCGTGTGTGTGCGCGCCCTGAGTCAACAGGAGGCCATTAGCAATTCATCAACTCCGTGCCATGTTTGTCTTGCTCTCCACGCGCTGCACTTTGCCTCTCGTTTAGGGCCGGCCCCAAATAACGTCTTGCTGCCTTCCGCGCCGTCTCCAGATTGGTCGGCGGCTAACTCCTTTGCCGCCACCGACGGCCACATGCGGGCCACACGCGGGCCACATGCGGGCCACACGCGGGCCACATGCGGGCCACACGTGGGCCACATGTGGGCCACACGCGGGCCGCCGTTCCCTTTCCAGTCCAAGGCCCAGAGGGAGGGCGTGCGGTTGAAATGAGCTTCTTGAATTTGGTTTCCATTCATCACAAGTCAATAGCGGCTTGCGCCGGGCAATGTGCCAAGTACGCAAAGAGCTCCTCCTGCTTTTTCCATCCGTCCATTTTCGCCGCCGCGTATCCGAAACTCTGCGGACAGGGTCGCGGCGGATGGGGGGTGGGGAATCGCGATTGCATCACTCGGCGATAGACCCAAGTTAGCCCAATTCTTGCTCCACTTTGAGTCAGAGTCGGGACTCGATTCAAGCCGAAGCGAGCAGCCATCGGGCCGGGTCAAGTCGTTCGCTTTGGGCCAACTTTGGACTCGTCGTCGGAGCCACCGTGAAAGGTGGCGCTCGTTCGGAGATCTCCGTCACAAAATACACTCTTCCGTTCCCGCGGCACACCTCGCCGCCGGAAGCTCTCGTCGGTGCCGCGATGCCGATTTTGAGGGCAGACGTGGAACGCTTGCTGATGGTCGTGACTTCTTCGAGACAAACGTCAGATTTTGCGATCTTGGTCAAAATGGCGACAAATGAAATCACCGAGTATTTCACAAATCCACAGAATGTGGGAAACGCGGCGCCTTCCATCATGAACTCCGCCACACATGGCATTTGGGGCTCACTTTGAGAATGGAACGACGGGCTGCAAAGAAATTCAACTTTGCATCTTTTTTTTCCTCAACCGGCTGCTTTTGTTCGTTCGGAGCCTTCGGGACAAAAGAAATTGCGAGTCATTGCCCCTGAATCCATCCACCGTTTTGGCCTTTGCGTTCCGAAGTGAAGGAGTTGAAATGCTATCGAGGACTGTTTGACGGCCTTGCCATTTGCCGCCGTTGACAGCCGGCGGCGTCGCCGGAACCCAACGATTCGGAGGTAGAAAGGCTTTGGATGACCGTCCGGGTCTCGCGCACCGAGAGGCGAAAGCCACGCGAGAGCGACTTGCCGGCCAGAAGAGTGAAGGAGCAAAGCGACCCCACTCGGGGACTTTTGCCCCGGACTCGATGGGCTCATCACGTTGACGAGGTGACATGCCGCCGTCACATGAGCCGCTCGCATTTCCCTCAGTCAACAGCAGCAATAGCGGCAAACACATCAAAGGAAGGAGAAGGAGAGCGGCCCGCCCCCGCCTTGCCCCGAGGCGCCGCGTCACCGCCGCCCGCTTTTGTTTTCTTAAGCCCGACAAACAGCAGCGCGCGTGCCAGCAGGATATGGCACCTGATCAATATGCGGCCGCATTGACAACCTTCAGATCTGGAAAGCAGCGAGCGAGGCGGTGGGCCCAACAGTCAAGAATATCAATCAGATAAATCAACAATATCCCGAACTTTTTGTGAGTCGTGAATGTGGCGCATTTTGGGGCGGAGCCCAAATTTGGTCCATTGCCCAAAAATCTGCGTTCTCGCCAGGTGTCTTACGTCGGCCGACAAAGAACTCGGACCGAGAGCCCCAAGAAATTCTTCTGCTGACAGCAACCCAATAACAACAAAAAGTCGACAGTCATCGTTCAACCGACGTCTCTCAGCTTTTTAGCCTCCTTTACAAAGGAGGCCCCGTTGCTCTTTCCCGCCCGCCGTGCGGTCTTCATGTGGCGCGCCAAAGCCGAACGGAAACTGTTCTTGGACTCGCAGGCGGGGCAGGAGAGGGCTTTTTGCCCGCCGTGCGCCGCCCGGTGTTCCGTCAAGTAGGCCTTCTGCGAGAACCTTTTGCCGCACACGGAGCAGGAGATGGATTCATTGCGAAAGAAGCAACGGCTTCGATTGAAAAAGTCAGAGAAAAGAGCTTTTTGTGAACGGATCCATCAAGCCAAACGTTCACTTTGATGCTATTTGGGTTTGGTTTTTTTTTTTTTTGCATTTGTGATACCTGAGATATCCAAGCGGCGCTTTCCGACTAAATCACAACTTAACATAAAAAAAAAAAAAAAAAAAAAAGGGCACTTTGATTGCAAAATGAGAGTTTATTGCAAGGTAAACACCGCACCGATGCGTGAACTTTGCATGAAGCGTGAACTCGAGCCAGGTTGACGGCAGCACATCGCCGTCGCGCGGCACCTCGCCACGCGGCTCATTCAACGGGCAGCCACCCACGTGACGTGCGGAGCGAGACCTGCTCAAAGCCACCCCTGCCATCTAGTGCTGAGTTTTCAGGCGGAAATCATTCCCAAAGCCTCGAGACTGACTGAGGAGCTGCTCGATACGTTTAAAAAATGTATCAATAAAAATCACCCCACCCATAACGTGATGTTATGTTTTGGACCTATGCAAATGCCTTTATTATTATTATTATTCTTATTATTATATCTACATTAAAAAAAACACCCCTTTCCAAAATGTGATTTGACGTTTTGGACCTATGCAAATCCCTTTATTATTACCGTATTGGCCCGAATATAAGACGGTGTTTTTTGCATCGAAATAAGACTGAAAAAGAGGGGGTCGTCTTATATTCGGGGTCTAGACATTATACCCATTCACGACGCTAGATGGCGCCAGATACCATTGAAGCGAATGCTGAACTTGACTGCCCAGGCCAAAGCGAACCCGTCGCGAAGAATAAAAATAAAAATAGCGGTAGTACGAAAAAGAAAAATAAATAGCGGTAAGAAAGAGAAGAAAATAATAGAAAAGACAACAGAAAATGGAGAAACGTAGCGACAAACTGGAGAAAAGTGGGTCGAAGATCGGCCAGGTTAACCGGCAGCTGAGAAGTTATGATGTCATTTACGTTTCAAAAACCAGAAGCCATTCATTTACGAATGTGATTGCACTTTAGTTTACATCTTTAAATGTTCAGCTATTAAGATTTGAAAGAGTCAAAATAACATGCTTTTTCTCTCCATTAAATTGTTAGAATCATTTGTTTCAGATGTACTGTCATTATTTTCTGTATAAAAATGTATTTGGTGTTCAAAAAGTCTTTTCAAACTTGAGCCTTGAAAAAGACGGGGTCGTCTTATAATCAGGGCCGTCTTGTATTCGGGCTAATATGGTAAAAAAAAAAAAAAAACGAAAAAAAAACACCCCATCCATAACGTGATCTGACGTTTTGGCAGCCGGTGATATGGTTTTTGCAAAGGTCGTTTCACCTTGGCATGAAATGAGTTTTGAAGAAGTAAAAATGTCGCACGTGATCTGTTTTCTCCTCGTTTTGTCACCGTCATTGCCAAGATCAGTGTCTTCACATCAGCGGATTCGATTCTTGCTGAACGACATCGGACGAGGATGCGACGGAAGGTCATTTTCCGCATTTGAGAAGTCTGAGTGCGACCGGCAGCCCTTTGCATTCATCAGAAGCCAAGAAGCAGCTGTCCGTTGTAAGAAGGATCCCAGCGGGCCCGCTGGCGTCGCCGCACAAAGACGCGCCGGCCACGAGGGGAGCGACGCGTTTCTTTTGCAAATGGATTTTGCACGGGGCGGAGGGGAGGGGAGGGGGGGGCGCAGCAGTTCTGTCGCACTTGAAACTTTGGATTGGACGTCACGCACAAGACGTCCGACGAGGCGCTGCGAGTTGGAGATGAATCTGCTTCCCGCAGGGTCAAATCTTCTCCCCGGCGCATCGGTGCTTGTTGAGCTGATACTTATAAGCAAAGTTGTCGCCGCAGGTGTGACATCGGAAGGGTTTCTCCCCCGTATGCGTTCTCATGTGCCTCGACATGGTGGCTTGGAGCGTGAAACGGGAGTGGCACACGGAGCAAGCAAAGGGTTTCTCCGCGCTGTGCGTTTTCATGTGGTTGGCGACGGTGGACTGCAGCCGAAAGGTCATGTTGCACACGGAGCACGAGAAGGGCTTCTCGCCCGTGTGTATGCGGGTGTGCTCCAGCAGGCTCATCATCCGGGAGAAGATTTTACCGCAAAAGGAACAGGTGAAGTTCTCGCCCGTGTGCGTCCTCATGTGCGGGATCAACGACGACCGGAAGCGAAAGGTCACGCCGCACAGCGAGCACGAGAAGGGCTTTTCTCCGGTGTGGATTCGCATGTGAGCTTTCAAGTTGATATTTTTAGCAAAGCCTTTGGCGCAGACGGAGCAGGCGAAAGGCTTCTCGCCGCTGTGCGTCTTGGCGTGTTCCTTCAGGTTACTCTTTCTGGCGAAGCTCTGAGCGCAAACGGCGCAAGCAAAGGACTTCTCCCCCGTGTGCGTTTGCGTGTGTTTGACCATCGTCGAGCGATCTCGGAAAGCCATGTCGCACGCCGGACACGGGTAAGGCTTCTCTCCGGTGTGTTTCCTCATGTGGATGGTCAGCGTGCCCTTCTGGGTGAAGCTTTTTGTGCACAGCGAGCAGCCGAATAGTTTTTCTCCCGTGTGACTTCGCACGTGCGTCTTCAGATCCGACTTGTAGGCGAACCTTTTGTCGCACTGGGAACACCGCACGCCGTCCTGCCCATTCGCCGACTCGCCCGGCGAGCTTTCCGCCGGCGCGTCTTCGTCGTCGCTTTTCACGACCACCCTGATCACCGGAAAGTCGCACGTGTCCGCCTCCTCGTCGTGAGCACCTTGTGGCCGCCGCGCCCTCGGCGTGCTCACGTCCACTTCTTCCTCTTCCTCTTTAAAGCGGCGGGGCGCCGGCTCCTCCTCTTCCTCTCCCTGACGGGGGACACCTTCTGGCTGCCGGAAATCTGCTGGACACAGCGCAAAGGAATCGAACGCAACTTGAGTGACAACGGCCGCAGCCAGAACGACGCACTTTACAAATCACATCAGACAACAAGAATACAACAAGAGAAGAAAATGAAAGCAGTCATTCGCAACACAAACAAATGATGCGAAGTCATGGACGGTAGACAGGTCACTCCCGGTGGCGTCCGGTCCGCGGACCTGAGGCGCAAGGCACAAGGTCAAAACATCACTCAATGATGATTGCACGCAATGTCGCATAATTGCGAGTCAGCGATGGAATCACCCGTTCGAAAAAGAGCCCTGATATTTTGTCCAACTTGTCTGATTTGTATTTGATGACGCCAGTGGTACCCCGCCGTCGATATTATTGGGTGATTTGGGCGAGCCCGAAAATTCGAGCGACCCCCGACTGCGTTTTTTTTCCGACTCGGGTCTCGGCGTCGCCATGGGAACAAGACTCTCCGCAGAGTGACGAATGACTCCCTGCCCGGTGAAATATTCCAAATCAATGAAGGGTTCGACGTCTCTTTCGAACTCGCAAGCGGTGGTTTATGCTTTGGAAAATGCGAACGTAGCCGAGGGCTTTCGCCTAAGTCACAATGGCGGAAGAAGTTGTCTTGGACTCCGTTTCGGAACACAAATATGGAGCGCTCGTGAGCTCCACCACGGGCAGTTTTTTTTTTTCCCCCATCGTCACTGAAGGTGACATGATGTTTCGAGAAGGGGGCGGGGGCGAACTTGATGAAAGAAAGGAGATATGAAGCTAAATTGAATATTGAAAGTGACGGAGATGTTCGAGAAGTGAACCGACCTGCCGTGCGCGCATCCATGGGGGTCGGCTTTTCCTCCGTGGTTCCGCAAAGTTCCCCCCCGTTCTCTGTTCCCTTCCAAGAAACACGCTCGCGGCCAGCCCGAGAGGCAACGCTTCGCTTCGCCGCTTCCGCCCCTTTGTTGGCAACGGCGACTAACAAGCCGAGCAAGCTGATTTGTTTTTGGCCACGTCAACGACGACCACTCGACAAAACCGAACCGTAGCAGCAAAAGTGCGAACCAAATGAACACGTCGACGCAAACTGCTCGCGAATCGAAGAGCATCGACGTTTTACGGTTGCAAATCAACACTGCGCATGCTCGCTGGCCGCCATCTTGGATGACTCGAAGGCGTCCTATGAGGGTCAAAACACATGATTAAAGTTTTGTCTTAACCGCCCCAAAAACAAAAATTTATATATATCAACGAGGAAAGGAGGCGGGACCCCCCCCACACCCCCCACGTAGACAGCGAGTGTGTGCAGTAGCGCGACAGGGGCGATTGTTTGGTTTATTTGGTTCGTTGGTGGTTGTGTTCCTCTGTTATTCAGACGGGTTACGCGCTCAACGGTAGATTTCAGGAGTCATCACTCATTTGTTCCGTTCTCTATCCTTAGACTACTTGAACGCGCGTGACTCGATGAAAGCCGAACACCAAAGGACGCTCGCGTTTATGTTTGGTCGTACGTCCAAGTGGAGCTGGCGGATTTTCCGCCCGGCGCGTCACTTCCGCTTCCGGAGAGCGCTAGCTAACGGCCCAAGTCGGCGCGATTCGAAACGCGCGACGATTGCCTTTCGGTCGCCTCGTTTCTGATTGGTTCGGTGCAACTTCTGTCGCAGCTGATCACGACGTCGCCTCGACGGGACGCCCTTTCAAGCTTCTGCCGCTCGCTTAGTTTGTCGGCCGCGCACAAAGAGAGGAGGAGCCGGGTAGCAGCACGCGCCGAGGCACCCCGTCGGTGGGGCGAGGGCGATGTGAAAACATCGCGGTCGTCGCGGGCGAAAAGTACGCTCGCTTAGCGCCAGCGGGAAGAAAAGAACACGACCGCGAGCTCACATGGACTCTCACGCAGCAGGTTCGTGCTATTCGCAAAGTTTGGCACCTTTTCCCCTCGAGGAACTAAAAGCATCAATTAAAAAAAAGAACGAATCCAGTGAAAAAAGTGCGGCTCACCACGATGTGACGTTTGTTGGGACTGAGCACGCCTGCGAATGGCATTTCTTAGTTTTTTTGTTTGTTTTTTTTAAGTGACACACACCGTCGCAAATATGTATTTCTGTCGGGCTGCTGGCACGTCGCCTCCCTCGCGAGTTTGGCAGTCCCGTACTCGGCCTCTGTGTGCTCCTCGTCGGTTTCAAGAAACCGAAAAAGAGGAAATGTGAACGTGAATACATATGTTCAAGAAACGTACCATTTTAGTCCATCTTTTTCGTCCGTCTGGATCTTTTTTTTTTTGGGGGGGGGGAGAAATTGTGACGAATGACCAGAGGTTTGCAATGCTTGGATGAGAAATATCTTTTGTTTTGTTTTTTCACACCAAGCGTCTAAATCCCACGAGAGCAGTTTGACATGGCACAAAGTGCACCTGCCGCTCAGTCACCTGAGGGCACACACACCGATCCGCTGTCATCCAAAACCGCGTGTTGTTTGGTCGTCTCTCCTTTTCACCTGCCACGAACCAGTATTTTGCGAGAGTTCAAAATATCATTGAAAAAAGTGAGTCTGGAGCCAACGCGGGTTCGGGTTTGCGAGTCCTCAACAGATGCCGTCTTGTGTCGTGCAGACGTCGGTGAAGAAGACGACCGGCGGGAGTGCAGCTCCGGATCGGAGGAGGAGCGGCCCGGCGTTAAAGTGGAAGAGGAGGAAGTGGACATTGGTCAGGAGGCGGCCGACTTGCCGGTGATTCGCGTGGTTGTGAAGGAGGAACACGACGACGGCGGCGGCGACCGCGCTCACCGGTGCCGAGGTGAGGAGAAGGTCCCGGCGGAGCCGAGGCGAGCCGACCCGCCGCGGCGGGACACATCAAGGTGGCGAGGCAAAAGCGGCTTTGCGGGCGCGGCCACGTTGCAAAGTCACGCGGGGCAGAAAAGCTTCGGGTGTCCGTTTTGCGGCAAAGCCTTCCCCAGGAAGAGCAACTTGAAGCTCCACGTGAGGACGCACACGGGAGAGAAGCCGTTCCCCTGCCCGCTGTGCGGCAAAAGATTCTCCGAAAAGGGCAACCTGATGAAACACGCCAGCACGCACACGGGAGAGAAACCCTTCACGTGCTCGGTTTGCGGCGAAAGCTTCTCCCGCAAAGGCAACTTGGCCACGCACGCGCACACCCACACCGGCGAGAAAACCTTCTCCTGCGCCGCCTGCGAGACCAGCTTCAGCCTGCGTTCGGCGCTTTTGAGACACATGCGGACGCACACGGGCGAAAAGCCCTTCCCCTGCTCCGTCTGCGCGCAAAAATTCTCCCAGAAGGGACATCTGATGAGACACATGAGGACGCACAGCGGAGAGAAACCCTTCCCCTGCTCCATCTGCGGCAAGCGATTCTCCCAAAAGGGCAGCTTGGCCACGCACAGGAGCACGCATGCCGTGGAGAAACCCTTCTCCTGCTCCGTTTGCGGGCGCACCTTCTCCCAGAAGGGCAACTTGGCGAAGCACGCCAGGAAACACACGGGAGAGAAACCCTTCGCTTGTCAGCTTTGTCGGCAACGCTTCACACACAAGTACCAGCTGAACAAGCACAAATGTGCGCCCTAGGAGAGCAGCCGCAGATGAAGCCGTGCCACTTTTCGGCCCCCTTTGCGTCTATGCGCGCCGTGGCGCTTTTTTCGACGGAAAAATCACTGGGCGCTAAGTCTCTACGACCGCGGCGCAGATTGTTTCCAAGATCGGGCTTGAACAAGGAATCGGATTCAATAACCACCACCACGACAACGCAGCGACTTTTTCAAGTTGCAAAAAGCTGCGATTGAGCTGCTTGGTTTTATGTCTTTGACTTTTTGTGTGTGTGTTGGGGGGGGCTTAATATGCAGTTGGCGGAGTCCTTAAGAAGTGTGCAGATCCTGCTCGGTGTGAGAGTCGAAGGGATCGAGCCGCAGATTTGTTGGCGTTTTCGTTGCCGTCACACTTTAGTTGAAGTGAACGCTTCAAAATATTGCAGGTCAAATTCTTCGGTTGGCGACTCTAATGGGCGTCGCACAAGGGTGAGTTCCTGGCTCACGTGCCTGTTTTTGAGCATCTGCCCAATGCGCAGCATCTTGGTGCTGTTGCTGAAAGAGGACCTTGGAAAAGTCTGACGTGGCAATCGCCACTAGGGGGCGGGCAGGATGGCTCAATTGAAACGAGCTGAAAGGCAAACTCGGAGTCAAAGCAAAGTCGGGGCTCCAACGGTGTCCGTGGGCCATTGAGCTTGAAGGAGGACATGGCCCTGGAAATCCCGCCCAGCTCAGCCTCCAAAGGGGAAAGCTTTGCCCACAAAACTCGCGCTTCGTCCAGAAAGTGGACGGCGGGCAGTTGAGCGCAATCGCCTCGCTCGTCAAGTCCAAAATGCAATTGCGCCTTGTTGTCGCTGAGCTCTTCTTGCAGGCTCGCGTACGACCTGGAACACAAATACACTGTCGCGGTATTCCATGTGGAACAAAACTCGTATTGCAGTCCGCCCTAACTTCAGCTCAATGCTCAAATCACATACAGTGATCCCTCGCTACTTCGCGGTTCGTTTATGATGGATTCAGTGCATCGCGGATTTTTTTAAACCAAAAAAAATATATATA